CCCTCTCCAAAAAAAAAAAAATTATTTATAGGGACCTGCAGGTGGCCTGGTGGTTAAGGGTGCTGGACTCCCACATAGCTGATCGCGGTTCAAGTCTTGGACCTGGCAGCTTGCTTTCTCACTTTCCCTTTCTCTCCCTCCTTCTTTGTCTGGTCAAAATTAAAAATAATAATAATAACAAATGGAATTAAATAAATAAATAAGCAATTGTTTAAAAAAAAAAAAGAATTATTTATAATTGGGACCAGCAGTTGGAGTAAGGGCTAAGTCACTGGACTCCCATGTAGTTGACTGCAGTTCGAATCCCAGATCAGGTGGCTGTGTGCGTGTGTGCCCAAGATCCCGAGAGGAGAATGGAGGAGAAGGGACTGCGGTGTGGCCATCCCCTCCGGGGGGTGATTTCTCGCTTTCTATCTTTCTGTCTCTGTCTTTCTGGTGAGCACACATGCCCTATAGCAAAAACCTCTCCAAAAAAAAAAAAAAGAATTATTTATGATTATTCTTCTTCTTCAGTTTTGACCAGAGAGAGACAGAGAGAAAGGGAGAGGGAGATTGAGAAAGCAAGCTGCCTGGTCTGGGACTTGAATTGCAGTCACCCATGTACGAGTCCACTGCCTTAACCACCACATCACCTGCCCCTCTTTTTCTTTATTAATATATACTAAATTCTATATATTTGTGGGGTACCTGTGATTTTGCAGTTTAAGAATAGAAAGTGTAATGATTCATTCAGGATAATTAGCATATTTACCATCTGAACCGTTAATCATTGTTGTTATTTGTTTTGAGAATATTCAAAATCCTTACAGTTGGGCCAGTCAATGGCAATGGTGGTTAAGGCACTGGATTGCACATGTCCAACTGTGCAGTTCGAGTCCTGGACTAGGCAGCTTGAGAAATACTCCAGGAACGTACGTGTGCCATCCAAAAAGAGGAGAATAGGAGAGAAGGAATTGCTGCATGGCCATCCCCCCATTGGGTGCTTTCTCACTTTTCCTCTCTTTCTCCAGTGAGTATACACATCCTCTAGCCAAAAACCAAAAAACATCCTTTTTGTTACTTTGAGAAACATGACAAATTGTTGCTATGTATGGTTTTCTCACTGTATTTTGTAACACCAGAATCTTATTTCCTTTAGTCATCATCTCTCTATTCCAGTCCCTACCATCCTTCCCAAGGCTTGTTGATTTCCTGCTAGTAACCTATAAGCCAGGAGTGAATATCCCACTGTTGTTACTCCTCTTTCACAAAATAGATCCTCAAGTTAAATTAGATTGCACAGTGAAAGTTGTGAACATTCAATACACAAAAGCATACATATGAAGGATCTTCAAAAAGTTCATGGAAAGTATATATAACCTTAAAATAGTCTATGTATGGATTTCAAATTTTTGCACCCAAATAAACCTGTACTTGAATTCCATTTTTCCATAAACTTTGTGAAAAAAATGCCAGAGGGCATATGTGCTTGCCGGAGAGCAATCCCTTCTCCTCCAATATTCTCCTTGGATTTTGAGCACGCACATACTTATGCCTGGCATGGTTTTCAAGTCACCAGGTCTGGGATTTGAACTGTGGTCAGCCATGTAGGAGTCCAGTGCCTTTACCACTACACCACTTGCTGGCCCCATTTTCTCGGTACTATATTAGAAAAATAACACAAAAACTAAAAAGTAAAAAATAAGAAAAACAAAATAGAAACACATGTTCTATTATAATATTTCCTTCATAAACCATAATGACTCATTTCATGGAATTACTTTGAAGATCATTAGCTTAGACAATAGCACTCAGAAAATAATGTGTAGCAATTCTACAAAATAATTTAGCATCTCTAGGCCTAGCTATACCCAAATAACTTAAAACAAAATGTACTGGCAATAGGGACCAGCAGTTAATGAATGTAATGGCTATGTTGCCGGACTCCCATGTAGTTGACTGCAGTTTGTGTCTCGGACCCGGTGGCTTAAAACTCATGCCGGGTGCATGTGCGTGCGTGCCCAAGATCCTGAGAGGAGAATGGAGAAGGGATTGCGGCATGAGCATCCCCCCTGGGGGGGTGATTTCTCGCTTTCTGTCTCTATGTCTCTCTCTGTCTGGTGAGCGCATGCGCCCTATAGCGAAAACCTCTAAAGTACTGGCAAAAGAGTGCTAAAAACCAGCAAATTTCTCAATTCAAAAAAAAAAAAAAAAAAAATCAAAGCACATGTGCTTTTTTCCCATGCACTACAGTTTTTAAAAAGTCTACAGTGGTGCTGGCAGGTGGCATGGTGGTTAAAGGCACTAGACTCCCACATAACTGACCATGGTTCGAGTCCCAGACCTGATGGCTTGCTTTCTCACATTCTCTCTCTCTGGTCACATTAATAATAATAATAATAATAATAAATAAAGTTAAATAAAGGAATCCTTTAAATATCTATAGTTAAAAGAAACTGCGCTAAATTATTTGTGATAAAATGCAAAGTTAGCATATTTTATTTTATGTAAATCTTTTTTTGTTGTTGTTGTTTAAGAGGTTTTTGCTATAGGGTGCATGTGCTCGCCAGAAAGAGAGAAACAGAGAGACAGAAAGCGAGAAATCATCTCCCCAGGGGGGTTGGCCACATCACAATCCCGTCTCCTTCATTCTCCTCTCCAGATATTGGGTACGCATGCATACACGCCTGGTATGAGCTTAAGCTGCCCGGTACGGGACTTAAACCATGATCGACTATGTGAGAGTCCAGCAACATAACCATTATGCCATCTGCTAGTCTCTATTTTATGTAAACCTTGATGACAGCTTTTATTTATTTTTTTTTTGAGAGGTTTTTTTTTGTTATAGGGTGCGTGCACTCGCCAGACAGACAGAGAGAGACATAGAGACAGAAAGTGAGAAATCACCCCCCAGGAGGGATGGTCACTCCGCAATCCCTTCTCCTCCATTCTCCTCTTGGGATCTTGGGCACGCACGCACACGCGCCCGGCCGTGAGTTTTATATGTTCAGTTTGAAGATTTGGTGCTCTACATGATCAGAAAAACTTCTCTGGTAACAAAACTATAGAAAGGATCCTTGAAGTACAGTCTTAGAACAAATACTTTAAATCAGCAATTACATAAAAGAGTATCTTTTATGAGGTCAAAGGCAGTATTTAAGAGCTACTAAGACCTGGTTCTTCCTTTTAACAGTATTTCCCATTACTTCCAGTATGTACTGTCGTCAAACCTTTTCTCAAACATGTTTCATGCTTTGCTGTTTTTTAGATTTATTTAATTAATTAATTAATTAAAATTTGACTAGAGAGAGAGAGAGAGAGAGAGGGAAATTCAGAAAGTAAGCTACCAGGTCCAGGACTTGAACTAGTTGGCCATCTGGGAGTCCAGTGCCCCAACCACCATGCCATCTTCTGGTCCTTCTCCATGCTTTCTTTCTGATTCAGTTCCTTTTTACTTGCTGGGTTCTTTATCCTTTTCCCTTCTTGTCTAAAGTCTACATCCTCCACCCCTTTTAAAAAAGATTTGCCAGAAGCACATGTGTTCACCAGAGAGAAAGAGATCGAGCGAGCAAAAGAGAGGAAGCAGCCCCCAGGGGGTATGTCTACGCTGCAATCCTCCTTTCCCAACTTTAGGGAGGCATGCACATACACCTGGTATGTTTCTCAGGTGGAGTGGTTGTGGGATTTGAACCACAAGGTGTGCCATGTGAGTTCCAGCCACCTTAACCACCACACCATGGGGTTGGCCCAAATTCTACTCATTCCTCAAAGGGTAGGATTCTTCTACCCATTCTTCACTGTGAAACATTAAGTGAACCTCTATTTCTCAGATGCCCCAGGGCCAGAATTATCTTTCCCTCAGCTGTACTTTCACAGAATGTTTATACTTACTTCCTTTAAAGTATTTATCATAGTCTTTCTTTTGGTATGGCTGTCTCTCAGCTGTAAACTTCTTGAGGGCAGGGATATTGTCTTCTCTAGTTTTTCTATTCTCCATAGCAACTAGCACAGTGTCTTTAACTTTGTAACTGCTTGATAAATATATACTGAAATAAATACTCAGAAATACATGTGAACATTTAAAACAAATACAAATGAAGTGACTTACAAGAGTCTTTGTACAAGGTTATATTTTAAATATAAAATTTATGAAATATAAAAATTTCTTGGAAGGTGGGAAGAAAAGTGGATGAGGGAGAGAATCATGAAATAAATGCTTAAGGGCATTTACCCTATCAGGCACTGTAAATAGGGATTATTTCTTAACCCAATACAAAAAAACTTTTAACCATAGAGGGAAACAAATAAAGGAAAATTCTTTTGAGAACTTAATTTCCCCTAGACATTAACTGGTTAAAATTCCTACCTAAAAAAGGAAAACGGTCAAAAAAAATAATCACCCCCTCCCCATAAAATAAAAAATCGAGGTTTTTCTTTTATTGGACGTTAGGAAATGTAATCTTCCATTGCTTACCTGATGTTACTCCTGGGTTACGGCTGGACGCAGACTGCAGTTTGTGCTCTATTTTAGGAGGACACCTGTTCCCCCCACCCCACCCCCCGTCCTAGTAGGTGAAAAACTTCTCAGCCACGCAGAGAGCACAAACTTCCTGATCCTTCGATGCAGAGAAGGAATAACACATCAGCTTCCTCGGGATCACTAGGCAACCTACCTTGGTGTTTCTTCATTGGGCCAATCAGAAATCACCAAGGTTGAGTTCAGCCAATCAGAGCTTACGAGGGGAGGCTCTACCCCTGCTATTGTGTTGTGATCCAGACAAACACCACCAAAAGGAGGCAGGTTTGGGTTTAACCTGACAGCTGGTCAATCCAATGAAGAAACCTTGGTGGGACAGAGGAAAGAATGCTGCGTTCCCCACCTCCATTAAGCCGACCAATCAATGCGTTCGGTGAGCTAACACGGGCTGCCAATCTCGAAAGGTTTCTGTTGGTCAATTTCAGTGTAGCAGGTGTTATTGTAGCAGTATATAATGGTACAAGTAGGTGAGATGTGTTGGGACCCAAGCCATAAAATTAGATTAAGTAAACATTTCAAATTGGTTGTTACTGACAGCCGATCATTGACTTTCCTGACGCAGAAAAACCTGATCTGCGTTAGTTTGTGGATGTTTATTTGTTTTACATTAAACAGGCAAGTACATTTCTACCACTGCATACATACCAACTTTCCTATAGCGCTTGTGGCTGACAAACCCGTGGATAATATATTTTTGAAATATGGCTGCTGAAACATAATGTTATAAATCTTCCTTTTTTAAAGCAAAGTTAGGGGGTAAAGCTGGAACTAGGTTTCAGGTTTCTCATTAAAAGTACAGTATCTTTCATACCACCATGCAAAAGTTTCAGGGAATGTGTTCAACTCTTGAAAAGTAATATCTATCAAAATGACCTCAAAACAGGTACCTGAAAGTGTTCTGTAAATAAAAATTGGAAGTCATGAAACAGGCTACATACCGAACAGTATTTTATTCATGCTGCTAAAAATGTCAGACCTTAAAAATCAGTAAAAAATATAAAAAAGTGAAGCAGTAACTTTTAAATTGTACATTATATACCATCATGTTAATACACTGAATCTAAAGATTACAGAACATTGTTTTAATAATACATTAATAAACAGCCACTTAAATGGTAAAGTTTTAACATAAGTAAAAAGGGAATTCCTACCAAGTTTAATAACAAAATAAATGTTTCAAAAATTGGCTTTGGAGGGCCTTAAAAGTTAATATATATTTAAAGAGTCAGCCAAAATGGAAGATAGATCAATACTGAGTAGATAACAGAATCAATTATGACATTTGTACTTCTGGTTTTATTCAAAAGCTCTCTTGGATTAATCTCAGATAAGCTAATCAGAGCTCCCCCACAATATGACAGTCAGCTAAGAATTTCATTTTAGTGTATGAACTGCTTAAAACTAAATATCAACTTTCAGAATTAGGGAAAACACACCTTAAAATGGTAATATAGTGTCCTTCAGTTTAATGTTGAGAACTTTGCAAATGTGAAGAAAAAATCATTCTTATATATGTTCTTTTGGTTCACTAAACTTTCTCCTTTTTGGTGCAGACTCCTGACTAGAAGATCCAAAGTGATGCAAGATCTGTCAAAAGAAAACATCTACTAAAAAATCAAAACTTTCCACTTTAAATACCTTTTTTTTTTTTAAAGAGATTTTTGCTATAAGGCACGTGCTCACCAGAGAGAGAGACAGCGAGAAAACAACTCCCAGGGGATGGCCATGCTGCAATCCCTTCTCCTCCATTCACCTCTCAGGATTTGGGGCATGTAAGCACATGTGCTCCCCACTTTAAATATCTTTAATTTTAGATTTCTTTTAATTTCTCTGAGGTTTCTTTCCTTTTTAAAACAATTATACCTAGCATACTTAGTGTAACTATTTCCTACTATGATAGGATACCTTGGTTCTTTTTTAAAACCAGGGTAAAATTTATTATTGACATATTTACATCTTCAGATGGCTGCTGAAAGAATATACCTACAAAGTATAAGCTCTACATTAGGACTGTTGTAGTAGAGAAAAGATATATTTAACATTAGTTCTCAAGATAGTCAAATATTTTGAGAGGATAAAAGAAAAAAGATTTAGGGACCAACAGTTGGCGTAATGGCTATGTCACTGGACTCCCATGTAGTCAACTATGGTTTGAGTCCCAGACCCAGTGGCTTAAACTCGTGCCGGGCACATGTGCGTGTGTGCCCAAGATCCTGAGAGGAGAATGGAGGAGAAGGGACTGCGGCATGGCCCTCACCCCTGGGGGGGTGATTCTCACTTTCTGTCTCTGTTTTTCTGGCCAGCGCATGCACAGTATTATAGCAAAAACCTCTCAAAGAAAAAAAAAAAAAAGAAGAAAAATTATTGAAATAAACTACAACTAGAAAGTCTACTTTGGCACCATGTAAAATTTAAATCACATCTTGATTTTGTATACTAATACTTAGCAGTATCTATCTAATAGATATTAAATACATCTAAATAAATGAAAGGATGAATTAGAGAATTTCTGGCAAAATTTTCTGAGGTATTGAATTTTCATTTTTCTGATAAAAATTAAACTCATTAGGAATAACAAACTGGCTTATAATTAAGCAGTAAAAACGTCAGAGTTTAATATACTGGGAAAAATGAAAGAATCTAATATATTAATGGAATGTCAGGTTATTCCATTTCTTTAAGTCATATAAATTGGAAACTGAATTAACTGTCATCTCAACTGTTTTTGCGATGACTCCTATAACGTTTGATTTTTAAAAAGTATTAAGTTTTCAGTTGTCTAGTTTTAATCTAACACTACTATAAATTCTAGTTGGAAAATATGATTACCTCAGAAATGACAAATACATTATTTGATTTCATAAAACAAGGTTCCAAATATAAAACAACTATAGTATTTAGATCAGAAAATGTTTTCTTTCTCCTGAGATGTTAGGAAGAAATGCTATATTTTAGGGAACATATGAATTTGGTAACTTATTTCTATTAATACTTTAGTCTTGGTCTCTCGAAAAACTCAGATCAAATTCGTGGTCCAATTTTAGCTCTATATAAACAAAATGGTGTGAATATTATTATTATTTTTTCTACTGCCAGAATCCATGTGTGTGTATGTGAGAGAGAGAGAAAAAGCAATCCCTAATGGGGAGTGGTCCCTCCACAATCCCTTCTCCTCCATTTCTCCTTGCTGGCAGGACTTTGGGCATACATTCACATGTGCCTGGTGTGTGCTTCAAACCACCAGGACCAGGATTTTGAGAAAAGAATTATTTAATTATTATTTTTAATTTACTATAGGGCATATGTACTCAAGAGAGAGAGAAAAAATGAGAAAGCAAGCTACCAGGTCTAGGACTCAAATCACAGTCAACCATGTGGGAATCCAGTGCTTTCACCATGCCAGGGCCAGGATTTGAACCACAATTTACCATGAGGGATCGGGTTCCTAATGCAATAAACTTAATTACTGTGTTATGAGGCCAGACTAGCCTGAATGTTTTTGCATCATCATTTTCTCAGTCTACTCATATTTTTCCTAACACTAATTTTTGTTATTTCATAAATTCCTCTAATTAGTTTGACTCATTAATGAAATTAGACAGTAGATATTTACATAGAAAAAATTATTAAACCAATATAGTGCATATTATTTCAAAATCACCTTATTTCTCAGAACAAAATAACATTTAAACAAGATTTCAGTATCGGAACTCTGAGGCATGTCCATGGATATTATAAAATCTGTCATTTTTTAAAAACAATTATATTATTTAACTTTATTTATTTATTTATTTTAATTTGACCAGAGAGGGACAAAGTGAGAAAGAGGGAGGGAAAGTGAGAAAGCAAGCCTCCAGGGACTTGAACCATGGTCGGCCATGTGGGAGTCCAGCACCCTTAACCACTATGCCACTTGCTGGCTCCTCAGATCTGTCATTTTAAATTTAATAGTTTTAACAGGATATTACTGTACTTGCCATTTTATTTAACCTATACGTTATCATCAGACTTACTGTTTTCCCAGATTCAGGTTGACCTCTCTTGCGACTTTCTTTAGAACATTTGACTGGTTGATTCTTTAGAACACTTGACTGGTTGATTTCCATTCGCCTCCAAGAGATAAATAGTTACTAATTGGTTATTGCTCAAAGAATGGCCAATAGTTGATTTTTTTAACCTTATGCAACTATATACAACTTTAAAAAAAAAGTAGCTTTATTGAGATATAATTGAGATATTGTATGCTTTGCTCACTTATGTGGGTACAATTCAGTCAGCCAAAGTATGTACACTGGGCTGTGCAACCACCACCAGAGTTGATTTTAGAACACTTTCATCACCCCTCTGAAAAACTACATATTTTTTAGCTACCATTCTCTTATCCCCACCTCTTCCCAGCAACTGTAAGATTTTCAGTCAATAGTTTTTGCAGTTTTGATTTTCATATGAATGAAATACTATAATATGTGAACTTTTGTGATTGGCTTCTTTTAATTAGCATAATATTTTCAAGGTTCATCAACGTTGTAGCATATATTGGTACTTCATTCCTGTTTAGGGCTGCATAATATTCGCTGCATAGCTATACCACACTTTATTTATCCATTTATCTGTTCATGGACTTGTAGGTTTTCCCCACCTTTGGCTATTGTAAATAATGCTGTATATGCAGTAATTAAAGTGAATACTGAAATCATGACAAATTATTAATTGTGATATTATTAGTTTTAAAAGGACATATTACTTTTCTGATGCTTAAAGTTCCTTTTTTTTCTTTAAGAGGTTTTTGCCTTAGGGCACATGTGCTCACCAGAGTGACAGACAGTAAGAGGGAAAGTGAGAAATCACACCCCACAGGGGATGACCACACTACACTCCCTTCTCCTCTACTCTCCCAGGATCTTGGGCACACACACACATGTGCCTGGTGTGAGTTTCGAGCCACTGGGTCTGGGACTTGAACTGTAATCAGCCATGTGGGAGTCTACTGACATAACTACTATGCTATCTGTTAGCCTCTACCACTGAATATTTTTTATTTCTGGTCCTTTCTTAACCATAATTCAGTTATGATTTTCAAAATTAGGAGAACTCTGCCTGAGATTGTATATCCAAAAATGTGCAATTTTAGAAATGATTTCTTGAAAGCATCTTAATGTTGTATTATTGTAAGGAAATCTTACCTAATTTTTTGTTTGTTTGTTTTTAGTGCATGGTTCTCTCTATATATACTAGTAAAGGATATGCATCCTAAATAGAAGCTAGCTGGGAAGAACATTTTGCTTCTAGAAGTAGTAATTCCTGACCTTCCTTTATCTCTTGCTCTCATTAGCATACAAGTTTGAATGCTGCCTTCGCCTTCTACCAGTTCTACCTTTCCATTGAGAATGTGAGAAAAAAAGTCGCCTACAAGTGGCACTATAATCAGTAGCATTCTAGTAAATGTTTAACAACCATTCCTACAAAAGAAACAAACCGAGTCATTTACTGATTTAGTATTGTGAATATTTCCACCATGGGGTCAGCAGGTGGTATAGTGATTAAGGACGCTGGACTCCCACATGGCCAACCAAGGTTCAAGTTCGGGACCTGGTAGCTTGTTTTCTCACTTTCTCTCTCTCACTGTCCTTCTCTGGTCAAATAAATAAGTAAAGTTAAATAAAATAATTCTTTTAATTATTTGTCCAATTTCAAGCTACCAACGTGTCACTGGATGAGGAATTGGGAAGAAATGTTTTAACATAATACTGATGGGGGACCAGCAGTTGGCATAATGGCTATGTTGCTGGACTCCCATGCAGTCAACAGCGGTTAGAATCCTGGACCTGGTGGCTTAAATTCATGCCGGGCGCGTGTATGCATGCCCAAGATTCCAAGGGAGAATGGAAGAGAAGGGATTGCGGCGTGACCATCCCCTCTGGGGGGTGATTTCTCGCTTTCTGTCTGTCTCTCTCTGTCTTTCCGGAGAGTGCACATGCCCTATAGCAAAAACCTCTCCCAACAAAAAACAAAAAACATAACACTGATGAAATGAGTTAGTTTTTCCTAACTTTGGATATAATATTTTATAGAATGATTTTTCTTAACTCCAAATCTTGGAGAGTAACTCAAAGACTAAGGGGCCAGCAGGTGGTGTGGTGGCTTAAGGCGCTGGATTCCCACACGGTCGACCATGGTTCGAGTCCTGTACCTGGCGACTGCTTTCTCGTTTCCCTTCTCTCTCTCTGTCTCTTTCTAGTCAAATTAATAATATCAAATGGAATTAAATAAATAAATAAATAAATAAATAAATAAATAAATAAATAAATAAATAAATAAATAAATAAATAAATAAATAAATAAATAAATAAATAAATAAATAAATAAATAAATAAATAAATAAATAAATAAATAAATAAATAAATAAATAAATAAATAAATAAATAAATAAATAAAAAGACTACAATCAAGCATGAATTTCTAAGGTCAGCAGATGGTGTGATGGTTAAGGAACTGGTTCCCACATGGCTGATCGCAGATCAAGTCCCGGACCTGATGGCTTGAGAAACATGCTGGGCGCATGTATGTGTGGCTGGCCAAAATCCCAAGAGGAGAATGAAGGAGAAAGGACTGCAGCATGGCCATCCCCTCTGGGTGATGATTTCTCACTTTCCCTCTCTCTGTATCTTTCTAGTGAGTGCATACACCCTATGACAAAACTCTAAAAGAAAAAAAAATTTCCATTTAGTATAAATGATACCAAAAACAGTGTTTTTTTTTTTTTTTTTTTGCTTAAGAACATGAGATTAATATTATACAAAGCATGTACAAAAGAATAATTGATGGACCAGCTGGTGGTGTAATGGTTAAGGCAGCTGGTATTCCACATGGTTGACTGGTGGATCAAGTTTGGACCTGGCTGCTTGAGAAACACACTGGGTGCATGTGTGTGCATGTCCAAAATATCCTCAGAGAAGAACAGAGGAGAAGGTGGGTGAGGCAAGGCCATCTCGCAGAGGGTGCTTTCTCTCTCTAATATTTATATATGTGTACGTATATATATGTAAATATATATTACACATACATAAAATACACACACACACACACCCATATCTCCTCTCTGGTGAGCACACATACCCTATACCAATTTTTTTTGTTGATTTTGGAGATTTTTTTTGCTATAGGGTGTGTGCACTCACCAGAGAGACAAAAAGCCAGAAATCACATAAAAAGTCCCTGAGGGGGATGGAAATGCTCCAATATCTTCTCTTCCATTCTCTTCTCAGGATTTTGGGCACACACTCACACACACCCAGTATGAGTTTTAAGTAGCCGGGTCCCGGACTTGAACTGTGGTTGACTACGTGTGAGTCCGGTGATGTAACCATTATACCATCTACTGGTCCCTGTAGTAATTTTTTTTAAAAGAGTAATTTGAAATGTCTTATTACCAGATAATTTACAGGGTAGAACATGGGTTGGGATGAGCTGATGGCATAATGGTATGTTGCTAGACTCCCACGTAGTCAACAATGGTTTGAGTCCCAGACCAGTGGCTTAAAACTCATGCCGGGCATGTGTGTGTGTATGGCCAAGATCCTGGGAGGAGATTGGAGAAGAATGGATTGCGGTGTGGCCATCCCTCCTGGGGGGTGATTTCTTGCTTTTTATCTGTCTCTCTTGTGAGCACATGCACCCTATAGCAAAAATCTCTCTAAAACAAAAAACAAAAAACAAGATAGAACATGGGAATAGTCCTGTATTCTGGGAAATTTTCTTGGGTATCAATTCTTCTCCAAGCCTTTCCTGGATTCCTATCTCTAATATACCTTTAGTAAAACTAATCATTCCTTCTTTTGTGCTTCTTAGGAGCCTATACGACTTTTATAATGGCCCCATATCATAGCTTATTTATCTCTAGTAACTAACTTTTCAGCTAAAACCAGGAACTATGTGTTATTTGAGTTTTATCTCCATTATATAATAAAGTACCTGACACAATAATTGACAATAAATAAATATTGGTCTAATGAATGAAATATTAAAATAAACTCACATATGACAAAATTGAAATGGAAAACAAGGGCCAGCAGGTGGCATGGTGGTTGGGGTACTGGATTCCTACATGGCTGACTGTGGTCTGAGTCCTGGACCTGGCGACTTGATTTCTCACTTTCCTTCTCTCTCTCTACTGGGCACACATGCCCTGTAGCAAATTTTAAAATAATAATGATGATAAATGAAATTAAATAAATAAATAATTCTTTTTTAAAATGTAAAACCAATCTAAAGAGATATTTACCGTTTTATTCTGAAAGATTTTTCCACTTCTTGTTTTGCTTTCAGACACATCAAGTTCAGATGTTTTACTGACCAACTGTTCAACCTAGAGGAGAAAATAACACAAAACTACATAACATAAAATATAATTTAATGCAATATAATCTTCATAATGATAAATGAGGTCCAAAAATTGAACCACATAAAATTTATGATCTTATTATAACAAGTTAATAAAAGCCAGTCATTTAAAAAATAATTTTTAAAAATTTGCTAATGTGTGTGTGTGCTTGCTGAAGAGAGCGAGAAAGAGGGAAAGAAGGAAGGTGAGAAAACACCCTCCAGGGAGGACCATGCCACAGTTCCCTCTCCTCCACTCTCTTCTTGGGATTTTGGGCATACAACGTACAAGGAGCCTGGCATGTTTCTCGTCGTCAAGTTCGAGACTCGAACTGCAGCACAGTCAGTCATGTGGGGTCAAGCTACCTTAACCACCACACCACCTGGCTGGGGCTAAACCCAATAATTTTTGAGTTGTTCATACTGTCATAAAAAGCACAAAAAATAAAGAGAGTCAAACTAGGCTAGTTCCATGGCCTAGTGGTTAGAGGAGCTGGATTCTCCACGGCTAATCACATGGTTTGAATACTGGCCTGGTGACTTGAAAAATACTCTGGTGTACATGCTTGGGTGCTCAAAATCTGAACAGAATGGAGAAGAGAATGCAGCATGGCCATACTCCATTAAATGGGACCTTCTCCCTCTCCCCTCTCTCTGGCTCTGTCTCTCTCTGGTAAGCACACTATGCACTACCGACCATCACTGAAATGATCCTCGCCAGGTATTATTCTTTCAGAAAATAACTTTAACCCACTCCCACTTGAAAAAGAGGCTAGGCAGAAAAAAGTGGAAAATCCATTATCAACTTCATTATTTCCAACTTCATATTATCTAAATATGCTATTTTAGGATTTCACTGTGGATGGAAACAAAATTAAACATGCTCTGCTCCAAGACAACAAGAATGTATTCTATAAATACAAAACAGGGTGAAATAAATAATTGCATAAGTTTCTATCTACCTCTAAAATTCTTAAATTTTACGAAGTCTTTGGGTTTGTTACTAAACAAATCCACCAGGAAATGCTCACAACTTTTCAACATATAATTGACTGATTTTTGTTAATAATAGACACTCTAAATACCTAATTTTATTCTGAAAGACACAGAATAATAAAATCTGAGAAATAACTACACATATAAGTAACCATCCTTAAAAAAAGCAATTAAAAGCTGTAACTATCAAGCTTATACCTGAGAATGAGAACCTGAAAGATCTGCACTTTCTTTAGATTTCATAATTTCATCTTCCTCACAAACTAAACTTGGTTCTGTGAGAAAAAAAAAAAAGTTAAACTCCTATAAAAATCAAATTGCAAATGAGTTCATTTACATCTTTGTTAAATTCTTACCTCCAAGTTCAGAAGATTCAGGATTTTTTTTCTGCTCTTCCATTTTAGTTTCAATGTCAAAATCATCCTACATAATTATGTAAAGGAAAAAAACAGCACATTTTAAAAAGAAATGAAAACAATTAGGTAGAAACATTTATGAACAAATTTGTTTTATGTAAAGGGTAAATAGAAAACTCAACTACCTTAACTTTGCCAGAAATAAAAGTGGTCCTAGCATTACTATCACAAAGTAACTTATTTATCCAAAGTATTAAATACTATTTTTCTTTTTTTTTGGAGAGGTTTTCGCTATAGGGCGCGTGCGCTCGCCAGACAGACAGAGAGAGACATAGAGACAGAAAGCAAGAAATCACCCCCCAGGGGGGATGATCACGCCACAATCCCTTCTCCTCCATTCTCCTCTCGGGATCTTGGGCACGCACGCACACGCGCCCGGCGTGAGATTTAAGCCACCTGGTCTGGGACGCGAACCGCGGTCGACTACGTGGGAGTCCAGCGACATAGCCATTACGCTAACTGCTGGTTCCCTAAAATACTATTTTTCTTTAAGAAAAACAAACAAAATAATTTCCCCCTATTTTTGCTTTAAGGATAAGTGATGGGACCAGCAGATGGCACAATGGTTATGTCACTGGATTTCCATGTATTCAACCACGGTTTGAGTCTTGGACCCAGAGGCTTAAAACATGCCGTGTGTGTGTGTGTGTGTGTGTGTGTGTGTGTGTGTGTGTGTGTGTGTGTATGTGTCTATGTATGTGTGTGTGTGCGCACCTACGATCCTGGGAGGAGAATGGAGGAGAAGAAACTGAGGTGTGGCCATCCTCTCTGGGGGTGATTTCTCACTTTGTGTCTGTCTCTCTGGCAAGTGCACGCACCCTATAGCAAAAAATGTGTGATGATTCTAAGCATTCTTAGCTCTTACTGTTGATTGTGGGCACTAAATTAAACATGTTTGCACAACAAACTACCACTTCAATAGCTCTGGAATTTCCATACATATAGGCTCAGTAATAGTATTATAGACATGGCAACAGGTTTGTCATCTATACTATAATTATTATTCCCTTAATTGACATATGTGAAAGAGATTTAAATATTTTAAGGAATGCTTCAAAAATTCCAGCCGTGGGACCAGCAGTTAGCGTAATGGCTATGTTGCTGGACTCCCATGTAGTCAACCGCAGTATGCGTCCCCGAACCCGTGGCTTTAAATCCGCCTGGCGTGTGTGCATGCGTGCCCAAGTTCCCGAGAGGAGAATGGAGGAGAAGGGATTGTGGCGTGGCCATCCCCCCTGGGGGGTGATTTCTCGCTTTCTATCTCTCTGTCTCTCTCTGTCTGTCTGGCGAGCACACGTGCCCTATAGCAAAAACCTCTCCAGAAAAAATAAATTTCCAGCCGTATTTGTTTTCTTTCTTTTTTATTTTTTTTTGCCAGAGGATGTGTGCATTCACTGGAGCAAGACAGAGAGGGAAAGTGAGAATCACCCCTCCTCCCCAGGAGCAGGGGATGGTCATGTGCAATCCCTTTTCCTCCATTCTCCTCTCAGGATCTTGAGCATGCATGCACATGCACCTGGCATGATTTTTATGGGTCACTGGGTCTGGAACCCAAACTGTGATTGGCCATGTGGGCGTCCAATGCCTTAACCGCTACAACACCTGCTGGCCCCCATATTTGTTTCTAAAGCAAAACTGTAATTTAAATTTTAGAATAAAGTTTTCTTTTTTGACTGAATTGGTTGAAAATGGATTAAATTTTCTATTTGTAAAGATGTGATCAGAGAGCCTAATTCAGAATAGTCAACCTCTGCACTTAAGTACTATGGACATAGAATAAAATGAGACAAGAGAAAACAAGAGAGGTGACATTAATGGACATAATGTTCATGCAAAAAGATTAAAGCAGTGATGACTTTCACATTTGCTGGGAATGAGGCATCAAAAAAAAAGAAAAGAAAAAGCTCCTTTATACTTTAATCTATTCATTCACATAACCAATGCTGAAAATGCCTTGACTGCAAATCTAAATGCTAGGCATAAGAAGATTTAAAAGATAAATAAGACATTTTTCCTGCCTTCCAGGAACTTCCATGCTGCTTCAGGACAGCAATTTTCCAGACCCTAGAGAAATTCAAGAACAGGCTATTCGAGAAATAGGCTACATGACTACTTAGCTAGAGGATTTAAGTAAGACTCCACTGTTAGCTAGAGGACTGCACTAGTTGAATGGTTTTAAAATTATGAGCTAGAGTCCTGTGGGTTTCCTCAGACTCCACTATGAGGATAGGTAAGGTGGTGAGTGGCTGGGCTTCCAGAACCATTCTGTTTCAATCTGAATAGCTGTGCTTTTAAGTTCTGAGTATAACATTGTTTGGACCAAGGCTTGGTTTTTCATTAAGGTCTTTTCCAACCTTGAGTTTATAACTATAATACAGCATTTATAGAAATACTAATGAGAGATATTAAAGTTACCAGAATTGAGTCAAATATCTATTACTATGATGCTTTATAATTCTCTAAGTATACTCACACTTATATAATGTTCCTGTTCATCTTCTAGATCATCTTTGTCCATCAGGATTTTTTGAAGTGGTGTTTTAAATTGTTTTGGTGACAGTATAGTTGAATCAATATTTTCCATTCGTTCTTTCTCAGTGGTCACTTTTACTTTGAAGGTGTGAAAAGGTGTTGGCACTTCTCCCACATTTAAGTACATAGGTTCTCCTTCAAATATTACCCCTTCGCAATCACCATCCTTAAAACCAGGAGGCTGGTAATCTGGTGGAGTAACTGTAAAAGAGTAGGTATAAACTGTATTATTCAAGAAAGTGAAGAAAGCATTATTATTATTATTAAATACATGTAAATTGAAATTTCAAATAGTATAGAAAGGCATAAACTGAAAAGTGCAAATCAGGCCCTGCTGTGGTGATGCAGGTGGTAGGGTGCTGCAGCACAATACTGGAGCCATATGGAAAAGTTCAGGGTTCAGATCCTGAGTCAACTAGAATGTGTCTGGTGTTTCCCCAAGCTGGCTGTCTGGAAGACTGGTAGGAGCATCACAGCATGGGAAGAACATGTCATGGGTCCCTGTGTGTGTCTTTCTCAAGAAAGAAAAAAAAATGAAAAAAATTAAAAAGGAAAAATCACCATCTTCCTATCTCCAAGTCCCCATTTTATTCAATATTAACCTTTGTTTTCTTTACTTCACTAGCTGTATGATTTCTTGCAACTATTTATCATGCCAGATTTCTTTTCCTTATTTGTCAAAAGGGGAAAATAATAGTACATAACTAATTCATAGGGTCTTTGTGAGTATTAAATGAAGTGTACAAAAATAAACTCCCACTATGCCAGCAGATGGCATAGTGGTTATACTGCTGAAGTCCCATATGACTGACCATGGTTCAAGTCTTGGACCTAGTGGCTTGAAACTCACACTGGGTGCATGTGCACGCGTGCCCAAGATCCCGGGAGGGTAATGGAGAAGGGAATTGCGGCATGACCATCTCCCCTGGGAGATAATTTCTCACTTTCCCTCTCACTGTCTCTCTTTCTACACAGAGCACATGCACCCTAGGGCAAAAACTTCTAAAAAAATTGAGGGACCAGTGAGTGGTGTAGTGGTTGGGGCACTGGATTCCCACACGGTCAACTGCAGTTCAAGTCTCTGATTTGATGGCTTGGGATTCTTGCTGGGTGCATGTGCATGTGTGCCCAGGGTCCCGAGAGGAGAACAGAGGAGAGGGGACTGCAGCATGGCCATCCCCCCCGGGGATGAATTCTTACTTTCTGTCTCTCTGGCTCTCCCTGTCTCTCTGGTGAGCACATGCACCCTATAGCAAAAATCTTTCTCAAAAAATAAAAAGAAAAATGTTCAGAACAAAGCTGGCACACAGTGAGTATCTGATAAATGTTATATTTAATATTTAATGTTATACTTACATAGGATATGGACTCAGGACCTTTCCTGTGTTGGTCTAGTTGCATTACCATTGTGTCGCTGCCTGGACCCCCCAGTTATTTTTTGTTGATATTGTTGTTTGTTTGGTTTTAGCTTTTGCTATAGGGTGTGTGCACTAGCCAAAGAGAGAAGGAAAGTGAGAAATAACCCCCAGGAGGGATGGTCATGCTGCAATCCCCTCTCTATTCTCTTGTTGGGATTTTGGTACTCATGCACACATGCGCAGTGTGTTTTTCAAGCTGCCAGGTCCAGGACAGACACAAACTGCATGGTTGGCCAGGTGGGATCTAGTGTAGCATCTTTACCATCATGCCACTTGCTGCTTCCTCCCAGCTGTTTTGAACTTAGCTCTTAGATAATTTATCAGCATTCTTTTAAATAATATTTTACACAAAATTCTATTATATAGATGCACATTATTTATTTACTTAATCCCTATAAAGTATACTGAAGTTGTTTCAATTTGTTCATTTTGGCCAATGCTATAATGAAAATCCTTATAAATATATAACCTTGCATATTTGTGCAAGCATACTGAAGACATTCTAGCTATAGAACCTTTGGATTAAGGAGAGTATGTACTTAAAAATTGTGACACTGCCTGGGCCAGCAGATGGCATAATGGTTACATCACTGGACTCCACGTAGTAGACCACAGTTCAAGTCTCACACCGGAGGCTTAAAACTCATGCTGGGTGTGTGTACATGCATGCCCAAAATCCTGAGAAAAGAATGGAGGAGAAGGAATTGTGGTGTGGTCATCCCTCCTGGGGGTGATTTCTTGCTTTCTGTCTTTCATCTCTCTCTGTCTCTGGCAAGCACACACGCCCTATAGCAAAAATCTCTCTTAAAAATTGAGACACTGCCAAACTGTTCTCTAGAAATGTTGCAACTTTATACATTTTTTCAAGAATGTATGGAAGTGCTTGCTTCTCTATAACCTTGGCAATGATGAGCTTACAAGTTTTTTGCCATAGGGTGTGTGCACTTGCTGAAGAGACAGAGACAGGGAAAATCAAGTTTTTTGTGTCTAATACTAGATACAAAATACTGATGGGGGTGAAATCACTCCCCATGAAGGATGGCCATGCTGCAATCCCTTCTCTTCCAGTGTTCTTTTGGGATTTTGAGCACACACACACACACACACAAGTGCTTGGCAGGATTTTCAGGCTACCTGGTTTGGGACTCCAATGCAGTTGGCCATGTGGGAATCCAGCACCTTAACTACATACACCACTTGCTGGCTCCAAGGTTTACAAATTTTAATGATCTCAAATAAAAAATGGTGTCACACTGTTTCATTTCTTTAATTATGAATGAGGTTAATACTTCACATAAATATGTTCTATCACCAGAGAAATACATATTTAAAAGCCTATTTCTATACATCTTTCTTTTTCAAATACTGATATTAAGTATAAATTATACAATCTCAAAAATACATTAACAATTTAGGTGCTAACAACATCTGCAATGGAAACCAAATTAAAACCAAATAATAAAAATACAAATAACAACCAAAATAGGATGGACTGCCACTAGTACCTTCATCGTAGTAAAAAAGTTTCATGGTCAAACAGACGTCATTAGGCAAAGGTCCCAGATTTTGCATTAGGATATAAATCTTGCGAATGAGGAGAATACTTGCTTTCTTGGTGTCAGCAGATGACATGCTAGATTTATTACTCTGGTTTTTACTATAAGAGAATGATACATTAATTTTTAAAGTAAAATCTGTGGCTTCTAATATAACTTCACAATTTAACTATTTGAGATTCTTGTTAACTTATAGAATTACACTGTTAAGTCTAAATTTAACATAAAATGTGTTTTAATGTCACTATGATAAAAATTTTAATATGTATTGGTAATATTAGTATTAGACACACAAAAACCTTAATTTTATACAAATAAAACTAAAGTACATTTAATAACAAGATATTTAAAGGGAAAAAATGAAGGGTTTTAATTGTATTTCTAATCATTTGCATTCGTTTTCCACAATTAAAACAGTATATAGTTAGTCACAGAATCTTTGCTTACAGCAGCTCCAAACCACCACTTCATTTTGTACAACCATACCTTGATAATTAATTGGGAACGTCTGAGAAGTTTTAGAATTAATCCTGAAGTCCAGTTATAAGGAGGAACTTCAAAAAGTATGTGAAGGGATTGGCAGATGGTGTAATGGTTATGTCACTTGGCTCCCACATAGTCAACTACGGTTCGAGTCCTGGACCCTGTGGCTTAAAACTCATGCCGGGTGCATGTGCATGCATGCCCAAAATCCCCAGGGGAGAATGGAGAAGGGACTGCAGCATGGCCATCCCCCACTAGGAGATGATTTCTCACTTTCTTTCTCTCCACACCCTACAGCAAAAATCTATTTTTAAAAACGCTCAAAACACCCTAAAAAAAACTAAAAAAAAAAAGTGTGTGGGAAAATAGAATAAAAGTACCAGTTTATGTTGTGTAAAAACAACAGAAACCCACAAAGGTTTTCCATAACATCCATTTTCCATGAGCTTTTTTTTAAGAATTATTTTTATTTAATCTTATTTATTTTAATTTGACCAGAGAGGGACAGATAGAGAGGGAGAGAGGGAAAATGAAAAAGCAAGCTGCCAGGTTCGGGACTCGAACCACAGTTGGTCATGTGGGAGTCCAGCACCCTTAACCACCATGTTCCCTGCCAGCCCCCTCCATGAGCCTTTTGAAGCCCTCCTCCATAGAGTATTATTATGAGTAAGTGATGATCTGTATTACCAAAAGAAAACTATAGAACAATACCTGATGAAATCCATAACTGGTCCATTATTCGTGTACTTGAATTTAAATTGGTAACATTCTGAAATTGTCTTAAATAGAAAACATTGCAGTTATGTAGCTGATATACAGTACTGGCAGCCAAATAGCTATATACTGCTTTTGTATGATTCCCAACATTTAGTCAAAACTTTTTTCTGCCATGTTAACCTCTGTATTTTCAAGTCCCACAGTCACTTCCGATGGTCTGGGATTTGAAGCTTCAGTGTTGAAGAGATACATATTCTTCCCCTTCATGGCAATGTATGTTATATATAATGGAAGGAACTCCTTAGTAAGCAGGTAAGGGAGGCACCATACCTCAGCAGAGTCGCTAAGCACAGGGCTTAAGTTTCTGCTATACTGTAACCATGGGCAAGACATTTAAGTCTTTTTCTCTTTTTTCATTTAGACGGGGTATCACTAGGTCATAATCCTCTTGCCTCAGCCTCACAAATTACTGGTACCATGGGCCCATGTCATCACATCCAGCTCTTTGAGACAGGGTCTTACTATGTTGTCTACACTGACTGAAAGCTTGCAGTCCTGCCTCAGCCTAGCAAGTAGCTAAGACTACAGGCATGTGCCATGGCACCAGGCTTTTTAAGCCCTCTATGTCTTGATTTCCACAGCTAAAAAACAGGATTAAGATAGTTCCTATCTCATTGGGGGCTGTGAATATTTATTAAAATGAATCATTTATACAGAGTATTTAATAAAATGCTGGACACACAGAAAACATTCAATAAATATTACTGTATCAGTAAGGTTCCTTACTTAGTGATAGAAAAAGCATATGACTATAAAACATATGAAAATAAATGTAGATTTTTATAAATAATCAATTAATATTCTGAACTAATTAGTTATCTTTGCCCAAATGATCTTTGTCCTCATGTACATATATTAAAGCATTAACTACAAACTTGAGTATCAAAGAAAAGACGCATTCCCAGCCCTCTTGAAACTGGAATACTTTTACTGCTTTCTTGATGTTTCAATGCTCACATAGGGAGGGGAATCAGTTCTCCCTTGTTTTCAATACATTTAAATCTATGACCAAGTGAAAAATTACATTATAACAGCTGTCATATAATGGTTAAGCCCCCAAATCATAAACTGGTCTTATGAGGTTTAAATTCTCATTCTACCATTGTGACTTAAACCATGAAATCGTATTCTTAGTTTTTTTTAGTCTGTAAAATGGAGAAGTAATGGTAGCTACCTCATGAAAGCTGTGGTAGATGATGCACATAACACACTGAAGATTAGAGTCTAATATAGATTATTAAAGGTCAAATTAAAATAATAATAAAATAAATAATTCTTTTAAAAATATGATTTTCCCCCCATTTCCTAGCACTTGATAGATCTTTTCCCCTTATTTCCTGTCTTCTGGTTTTTCCTGTCATTTCTTGTTCTCATTTCTCTCCTTAACTATCAAATGAACAGGTGGATCTGACTGGATTTGGAATGGATATTCAAAATTTAAGCATGAGTTTCTGACTTTCCTCAAACTCAAATACTTTCATGATTCAAGATAAAAATATATTCTAAAGGCTGGGCCCAACCCTGTGCCATGGCCAAGCCCAGAGAGCTCCTGCAGCCCTCCTGCCCCTCATCCTGTCCTGGCAGCCTTGAGAATGTGGGCGAGCTGGCTCTGAGCTGTGGTGTGTCCAGATGGGGGACCCACTGGAAGATGTGGAGTTGTAGATTGGAAACACAGAATCTTCATTAACCAAGTTTCTTGAAGCTACCTTTGCAGCATCAGCTCAACTAGAACTTGACTTTATACAGAAAATGCACATTTCCTCAGAACATGGTGGGACCTCCTGAAAGACCGTGATTCTTTGAAACCTGACAACTGGCATGGCATATGTAGTTTAAATAATCACTATGTAATAATTCATATTTCCTCGTGTGTGATATTGGACATGCACTACATACATAGGGCGATGCCCTTCAGCAGTTCTGTGAACTCAAAATGAAATTTTATTTAGTTTTTTTTTTTTTTTTAACTTTTGTTAAAGCAGAATACTAATGTTATTTTTCATGCTGGCAAGTGTTTACTTTTAAATTCTTTCTGACTTTTAAACTTCTGTAAAATCCTTTATAAAGATAACTTAATTAGTAGATTAAATTAATAGTGCCATGGTTTACCAGTAGTAAATTGGGTAGATAATGTGTTTTGCAAGAAAATGCCAAAGCTGTAGAATCTAAAGTTGTGCTTCATTTGGGGGGTCAAGGAAAATAACTTTAATAAAGGCTTCAGGTGTTTAACTCCAGCTCTCTATTAGACCAACTTCTCTAGAGCCAAGGATTGTGTTTTACTCACCTTTAAACCAGTGTTAAGATTCAGTAAATATTTGAGTAAAAGAGATGACAAGTATAGTTAAAAGCCACTTTTCTTATTTTTAGCACAAAGATTGTACTTTTCTCTCTATAAAAAGTATAAACCATGGGGGCCAGCAGGTGGCATGGTGGCTAAGGCACTGGATTCCCACATGGCTGACCATGCTCCAAGTCCCAGACCTGGAGGCTTGAGAATCATGCCAGATGCATGTGTGCACATCCTCAGAGTCCCAAGAGGAGACAGGAGGAGAAGGGATTGTAGAAATCATCCCTCCTGGGGGTGATTTGTCACTTCCCTATTTCTCTGTCTCTTTCTGATAAACTCATATGCCCTATGGCAAAAAAAGGGGGGGGATCAGAATGTCATTGAATTGAAGGAAAACATTATTTTAACATGTGAACTTTAATTTTAAAAAATATGATAAATATTAGAGCAGGTGGCACGGTGGTTAAGGTGGCTAAGGTGCTGGACTCCCACACAGCCAACTGGGCTTCAAGTCCCAGACCTCGTGGGTTGCTTTCTCACTTGCTGTCTCTTTCTGGTCAAATTAAAATAATAACAAATAACATGAAATAAATAGTTCATAATAGAAATAACATTATGGGTACTTTTGTGATTTTTGTTTGTTTGGTCAGAGGATGCGTAAGCTTGTCAGAGAGAAAAAGGAGAGGAGAAAGCACCCCCCTCCCCATGAAGACTGGTCACACTGCAGTCTCTTCTCCATCTCTCCCTCCTTTCAGGATTTTGGGCACATGCTCCTAGAACGCTTTTCAAGCTGCTGGTTCCAGGACTCTCACTGTGGGGCTGACCCTGTGGGATCTGGCTGCCTTGACCACCAGGACACAAAGCTGATCCTAAGATGCTTTTTTAAAAAAGCCTTCAGAAAACTAAAGTATTTCTAGAAAGAATGCATATTTTCATCTATTTATATCTAACTGTTCTTACATTTGATACTTTCATGTGTTTGCTGGCTTTGAAGAACCTTATCACATTTATGGTTCTGTGTTACTACTTTGGAGTTGTTAATGTAATAATTGTAAAGAAATTACTTTATTTGCAATGTACTGTATTTAAATGATGTCATTGTTTCATGTTTGACTTTAGTGACAAAGTTCTATTTTAATTTGTTCTGTGTCTTAGGTAGTTTTTTGATAATTGGGTCATGTTTCAATGACTAAGTCAACTCATTTCCTACTACATGTAACTTCTGGACATCCCTTGATACGGACTTAGCTATTTGTAGATATGGAGATATGTGCAGAACTTTATTATTTTTTTAAATTAAAAATATTTATTTTCATTTTATTTATTCATTCATTAATTTTAATTTGATGAGAGAGACTCACACACAGAGAGAGGGAAAGTGAAAAAGCAAGCCACCAGGTCCAGAACTTGAACTGTGGGCAGCCACATGGGAGTGTCCAGCACCTTAACTACCATGCCACCTGCTGGCCCAAGAACTTTATTCTAAAGCCCAACAATGAGACTATAAAAGGGGTCAGATGGACAGATAAAGCATAGTCTTTTTCAGTATATTAAGTCATAATTCTTAGTTTTTAAAATATCACATATATCTGGGCCAGCAGGTGGTGTGGTACTGAAGGGCGCCAGGACTCCCACGTGGCCGACCATGGTTTGAGTCCTGTACTTGTGGCTTACTTTCTTGCTTTCTCTGTCTCTTTCTTTCTCTCACTCTGTCCCTCTCTACCCAAATTGAAAATAAATAAATAAATAAAGTTAAGCAAAATAATTATAAAAAAATCACATACGTGTTGTGATTTCTGTACCAAAGAGGTGCTTCCTTCAGTATTAGAAAAGTATTTATTTTTCTTGTATGTCCTAGAAATTGTTATTTCCATATTTTGTAAAAATAAACTCTTATTGGGGACCAGCAGTTGGCATAAAGGCTATGTCGCTGGACTCCCATGTAGTCAACTGTAGTTCAATTCCTAGACCCGGTGGCTTAAACTCACACCAGGTGCCCGTGCATACATGCCCAAGATCCTGAGAGGAGAATGGAGGAGAAGGGATTGCGGTGTGGCAATCCTCCCGGGGGATGATTTCTTGCTTTCTGTCTCTCTGTCTCTCTCTGTCCTTCTGTCGAGCTCATGCGCCCTCTAGCAAAAACCTCTCCAAAAAAAAAAAATCCTATTAAAAGCAAAATAACAATAACAATAATAATTCTTTAATAAAAGGATATTGTGGGCCAGCAGGTGGAGAGGTGGTGGTTAAGGTGCTGGATTCCCACATGATCGACCATGGTTCAAATCCCAGACCTGGAGGCTTGTCTTCTCATTTTCCCTCTCTCTCTCTCTGTTTCTCTTTGGTAAAATTGAAGAACGATAATAAATAAATAAAATCATTTAAAAAATTAAAAGGATATTGTAAAGAACCAGAACTCAGGAGACTTAGATTTCTAACAGTTTGTAAACTTTGTGGTTTTTGGATTAGCCACATAATCTCTCTTGCAATGAGTGTATTAACCTGTTTACAGATAACAATACAAGCCCTGTATTAACCAGAAGAATTTTATGAGGTTCAAATGTGAAAATACATTGATTGGGAACCAGCAGTTAGCATAATGGCTATGTCGTTGGACTCCCACGTAGTCGACCGCGGTTCGTGTCCCGGACCCGGTGGCTTAAAACTCACGCCGGGCGCGTGTGCATGTGTGCCCAAGATCCCGGGAGGAGAATGGAGAAGAGGGGATTGCGGCGTGACCATCCCCCCTTGGGGGTGATTTCTCGCTTTCTGTCTCTATGTCTCTCTCTGTCTGTCTGGCGAGCGCATGCGCCCTATAGTGAAAAACAAAACCTCTCAAAAAAAAAAATACATTGATTAAATCACAATTAAAAACATAAGACATTATAATAATACAACCTTATGTTATTTTTAGACATTAGTGGCATTATATTTCTTTACTAACTCAAGCATACTTACCTGAGGGTCTTCTGGATTGGAATACACCTATTTAAAAATAATGTACAAATAATTTATTTAAGGCTCTATATTTGAGAAGAAGTAAATTAGATGTTTGGCCTAAAATATTAAGTAAACTCAGTAAAACAAAACAAAGAATGAAACCCCCCAAAATATTCTTTTATTACTTTTTTCTATTAAATAGACTAGTTGTTTAAATAAAATGACATAATCAATTGATAGTTTGTGTCATTTAATTAAACAATGAGTTTGACAGTATTTTTTTTTAAAAAAAGAACATGCAATTTAAAGATACTTACAGCTAGAACAACCATCCTTAGCTGAAATACAACAAGAAACAAAAATCTTAATTGAATGCTATGAAATATTATTTCATGATGGATGCTAAGAATTCTTTGTCCTGTTTCAACATGTATTCCTAATAACAAATAATCACTGTAGGAGAGAGACTTCATATAATGCCTATAAGGCAATATCTTAGATATGCTTCCCTATTCCTCAAAATATTTCTATTTGACTGACTGATGGTTGAAAGTCATATTAACAATTTATTTCATTTACTTAAGCAAATAGGACATTACTGCCACTTGCAAGAAAAATATATATTGTGAAATACACATTACACTTTAGCAATATGAGAACTGATTTTGAGGATCTTACCATCTCTTTGATGATAGGAAAACAGTCAGTAAAATAGGTAAATCAGATACATTCCAATAGTGTTAAATGCCAGAGTGTTCAGGGCTCTACACACTTTATAAAGGGATATCACAGGAACATTACATTCACACAATTGACCTGCCAGAAACAAGTCATCCTTGATTCTGATTTTTGTTTTTTTAAAGAGAGATTTTTGGTTATAGAGCACGTGTGGTCACTGAAGAGAGCCAGAAAGTGAGAAATCACCCCCAGGGGAACAGCCACACAGCAATCCCTTCTCCTCTGGGGATTATGGGCATGCACACATGTGCCCAGCATGAGTTTCAAGCTGCTGGGTCCGGAACTCGAAACCCTTCAGCCATGTGGGAGTCTAGTGCATTAACCATTATGCCACCTACTAGCCCCCCAATATTTTCCTGATACTCCACGACCAGTTTATTATCAGTTCTACTACCAAATCTTTCCTGAATCTACTCTGCTATTTTGGTCTAAGCCTCCATTATTTCTCACCAGTACTACAATGACAAAGTACTGTTTTCCTTATTTCCAACCTTCTTATTCTATTGTATGTTCTCTAAATAGAGGCACAGTGATTTTTTTTTTTAAGAGAGATTTTTGCTATAGGAATGTACACTCCCCAGAGAGACAGAAAGTGAAAAATCACCCCCTGGGGGAATGGTCATGCCGCAATCCCTTCTCCTCCAATTCTCCTCTTGGGATTTGGGCATGCACACACACGTACCCGGCATGAATTTTTTATTTATTTTTGGAGAGAACGATATTAAATTATATTATAGCACGGCAGCATCACATCACACTTAAAGTGTGACATATGGAATTAGAACATCATGGAAGGATAATTAGATTTTTTTAAAAAAACAAGCAAAGTCTAAGGTACACAGCTGAAGTAGGGCAGATTATTAAGATGTTTGATGGTAAAATTATGTTTATCATGACACAAACTACATCTTATAGCTTGTAGTAAGGCTTTATCACTTTGTTTCACTTCTCAGGGATCTCTTTACAAGTGACTAGGACACATCTGTACCAAATAAAAACTCATGCTATGGCAAAATTAGCCTCAGGTTCTTCCCCAATTTCTGCAACCAATGATGAATACAGTAACATATTCCCTGGTACTATATTTCTCTTGTTTGAAATATCCTTGGTATTACTTCAAAAACCAGATTCAAGGGACCGGCAGTTGGCGTAATGGCTATGTCACTGGATTCTCATGTAGTTGACTGTGGTTCGAGTCCCAGACCCAGTGGCTTAAACTTGCGCTGGGCACGTGTGCATGTATGCCCAAGATCCCAAGAAAAGAATGGAGGAGAAGGGATTGCGGTGTGGCCATCTCCCCTGGGAGGGCGGGATGCGTGATTTCTCGCTTTGTCTCTTTCTTTCTGGCCTATAGCAAAAACCTCTCAAAAAAAAAAAAAAAAAAGAAAAGAAAAGAAAGAAAAACCAGATTCAAGTAATTTCTTTCTGCAAAGAAAAACAACTAGAAAAAATTCCTGATTAGGAATTCTCTTCTTATTCTTAGCACAATAATTTACTCCTCAATTGCTTAAGTAATTCTCCAAGTAGTTGGAAAAGGATAATCAGAATAATCAGTTTAAGAAAAAGTTTCAAATAAATTGTTTTCTTTTATTATTATCTTTAAAATATATAATGGCTTTGGAAATCATCCAGTTTGTTATTGTAGCTGGAGAACTCTTAGCCTGCTGGACAGATACCACTATGGCTTGCTATATCAAAGTAGCTGAATTTGAAACAAATTCAACACAGTTGCCTTCAAGGATCAACTCATCTTTCTGGGCTTGAGATACTGAACAAGCAACAGCTGGTCACATTTGAACCTCTGGATGTGCTTTTCACCCAAGAAATTTTGGATTTCACCAAGAGACCCATTTTCCTGAATAACATTGATGGGGAAATAAGCGTACACAGACCTCATCTTGTAACAGCAGCCCAGTGTAACACCCTTGATCATGTTCTGTGACTACAGATAGTGTGAACTGTTGCCAGTTACTGTTTCCCCACCATTTGTCAACTGGTAGCCTCTTTTTCTTTTCAAGGAGACTGAGCTCTACATTGATGTGATTGAAGTCCCTCTGCAGGGTTCTTCTGGGACCCTTCACAATACTGTGCATCCCTTGAGAGTGATGTCAACATTCTCTGGAATGCTGATGGTCTGACTGCTGAAAATAGTCTTCATCCTCACAGTAGATGTGGCGAAGAACCTGGCCTGAGTTTTAAGCTGGTTGTCTATGTGGGAGTCCAGCAATATAACCATGACGCTATCTGCTGGTCCCAGAGTGATTTTTTTTTTTATTTTAAAGTTTTAGTCAAATGATACTTTTTCTTTCTTTCTTTTTTTCTTTTTTGAGAGATTTTTGCTATAGGTTGTATGTGCTCGCCAGAGAAACAGAAAGAGATAGAGAGACAACAAAGCGAGAAATGACCCTCCAGGGAGTATAGCCATGCCACAATCCCTTCTCCTCCATTCTCCTCTTGGGATTTTGGGCGCACACATGTGCCCAGTGTGAGTTTTAAGATTCCAGGTCCAGGACTGGAACTGAAGTTGACTACATGGGAGTTCAGCAATGTAACCATTACACCATCTGCTGGTCCCAAATGATGCCACATTTCTATTTCAAACCTCCAAATGATTTTTCTTTGCACCTAAAATAAAATCAAACTTCTTACCTATACAGCACTGAAAGCTCTGGCTTCATCTCCCCAGATTTACTGCAGGCCATTCTTTTCCACTGGATAATAGCACTTCAGTTACATGGGCCCTTATTTTGTTCCTGGAACTCTACAACTCCCCTCCAATTCTGCATTTACTGCTTTACTAGGAATATTCTCTCCTCAAATCAATGCTTTGCTGGTTTCTTCTAATGAGGATCTGAGCTTAAATTAAATGTCACCTTTTCAGAAATTCTCCTCTGATTATCTCATCTAAGTTACTCCACTTTCCATTTACCACATATTTTCCTAAAAATGTTACTGGCATTTAACACTATTGGAATGTATCTGATTTACCTGTTTTCATCAACTGTTTTCCTACTATAAAAGAGACAGTAGGACCACTTTTTTTTGTTAGCCACTGTGGTCTTACTTAGGTAGGAATTTAGACTATATGCCTAGCACATCATAGGCACTCAATATTTATTATGTCTTAATAAGAAACTTACAGACTATGTATAAAAATTCATCTTTACAGGCCAGTAGGTGGCAGAGGTTAAGGTGGCTGGATCTCACTTGGCTTGCTGTTGTTTGAGTCCTGGACCCATGGCTTGAAAAATCACACTGGGCATATATGTGTGCATGTTCAAAGTCCTGAGAGGAGAAGGGATTATGGTATGGTCGTCCTTTTTTGGGTGGTGATTTCTCACTTTCCCTCTCTGCCTACCTCTCTCTCTGTCTCTAGTAAGCATATGTGCCCTATAGCAAACTAAAAAAATAAAATAAAATAAAATCACTTCACAATTTTGTCTAGAATTGGACTTTTTTATACATGGTGATGTAAAATTATGCTAAATATGCAAAAAGGCTTTTACACTCTATGGTAAAATTAAAATTTCACTAATTCAGAATTTATGACAATTTAATCTAGACTATGGGGAAACTTATTTTTGAATCCTAATTTTAAAGTAATTTATTAAATTTTAGTGTAAATAAGATTATTGAAGGCATGTAAAATTAATGAGTGAACTATTTTATAAGACTTCATTTAATAATTTTTTTTTTTTTGGAGAGGTTTTTGCTACAGGGCTTGTGCGCTCGCCAGACAGACAGAGAGAGACATAGAGACAGAAACCACCCCCCCAAGAGGGGATGGTCACGCCACAATCCCTTCTCCTCCATTCTCCTCTCGGGATCTTGGGCACGCACGCACACGCACCTGGCGTGAGTTTTAAGCCACCAGGTCCGGGACGTGAACTGTGGTCGACTACGTGGGAATCCAGCGACATAGCCATTATGCTAACTGCTGGTTCCCAATTTAATAATTTTTTAAAGTTAATATGTGTTATTAATACAAATGAACATTAATTAACCAAAACTAGCTTGGCAAAATTTGTTTAGTATTAATTCCATTAACTGTAAATGACTGAAAGATTAGTCTTTATAATATTCAAATGTGGGACCAGCAGATGGCCTAATAGTTACATCGCAGGACTCCCATGTAGCTGACCATGGCTCAAGTCCTGAACCTGGTGTCTTAAAACTCAACACCCGGCATATGTGCATGAGTGTCCAAGATCCCAAGAGGAGAATGGAGGAGAAGGAATTTTATGGCATGGCCAATCCCTTGGGGGGTGATTTCTCATTTTCTGTCTCTCTGTCTCTCTGGTCCTATAGTACAAATCTCTCTAAAATAAATAAATAAATAAAATATTCAAGTGTTAAGGGCCAGCCTGAAGCCTAGTAGTTTAGGGGAGTTGGATCCCACACGGGCAACCATGATTTGAATCCTGGCCTTGGTGGCTTGAAAAAGATGCCAGATGCATGTATGTGCATGCCTCAGATCCTGATAGAATAGAGAAATGGAAGAGAAGACAGAAGTGTGACCTGTGACCATGTCCCACTGAGGGGTGCTTTCTCCTCCTCTTTCTTTCTATATTTCTTTTTTTTTTTTTTGAGAGATTTATGCTATAGGGTGCGTGCGCTCGCCAGAAAGACAGAGAGAGAAAGAGAGATAGAAAGCAAGAAATCACCCCCCCAGGGGGGATGGCCACGCTGCAATCCGATCCCCGCCATTCATGCACACGTACCCAGCGTGAGTTTAAGCCACCGGGTCCGGGACTTGAACTGTGGTCGGCTACATGGGAGTCTAGCGACATAGCCATTACACTAACTGCTGGTCCCTTTGTTTCTATATTTCTCTGGTGAGAGATACATGTGCCCTCCAGCAATTAAAAAAAAAGTTAACAAAAAATTCAAATGTTAAGACATTTCAGAGTGCAGCCAGTGGCATGGTGGTTAAGGTAGCTGGATCTTATTTGGCTGACTGAACCGTTCAAGTTCCAGACCTGGCAGCTTGAAAAAAAAAGCTGTGTGTGTGTGTGTGTGTGTGTGTGTGTCTCTAAAATCCTGAGACAACAGAGGAGAAGGAATTGCAATGTCGCCACTTCCCTGGTGTTGGTGGTTTGCTTTCTCACTTTCTCTCTCTGTGTGTCTCTCTCCAGTGAGCACATGTGCCCTATAGCAAAAAAAAAAGAAAAAAAAGACTTCAGTAATTCAGACCTGCCTATGTTCAATTTAATTTAATGTTTCACTACATGATAATTGTTAAACCTATAAAATATAAACTACAGAATAAAAGGATAAAGAGATGTTGAATGACTTACGTATTTTTTCTGTAAAGCATCATAGCATCCTAGCATCCTAAACAAAACAAAAAAAAAGCATCATTTTTACACTGAATGCATTCTCAGTTCTTTTCATAGATCTCCTCATTATCTCATTAATGAGTAATACCAAAAATTTCTTGATAAAGCTCTTTTGTTATTAACTGGCCAAAAATAAAACAATGTGACAGAAATAAAAAATGATGATAGGGGATGGAAAGGAAAATATAAAATATCTGACAGCTACATATGGGGAGCAATAATAAATAGAAATACAAAGTCTGTTGACTTAGGGAATGAAATAAAATAACATTGGGACCAGCAGATGCTGTAATGGTGACGTTGCTGAACTCCCACAAGGTGGACAGAGGTTCAAATCCCAGACCCAGTGGCTTCAACCTCATATCAGGTGCGTGTGCATGAGTGCCTAAAATCCTGAGAGGAGACTAGAGACAGAGGTTCAAATCCCAGACCCAGTGGCTTCAACCTCATATCAGGTGCGTGTGCATGAGTGCCTAAAATCCTGAGAGGAGACTAGAGAGAAAAGATTGCAGCATGGTCATCACCCCAGGGAGTGATTTCTCACTTTCTGTCTCTCTAGTGAGCACACTCGCTCTATAGCAAAAGTCTCTATATATAAACAAAAAATGAAATAAAGGAACATTTTAATGTAAACATGGTATGCAGGATTACAGGATGAATCACTAAAATTTGGCTTAACACTAGAAAGTATCCAAGGCACACACACACACACACACACACACACACACACACACAATATGAGTTAGGAAAACGTAATGTTTTATCTTTAAGTACTATTTTACTTACCACTTCACTAACTGTGTAGATCCTGGACACTTTTTATCTTCTCTCAGAATTTTGACACAAAGATCTAAATATAAAAATGATGAAATAAATATAAAGTTACTCAGCTCAGTTATGGAGGCACATATGGTAAGGTGCTGCTGAGTGATACTGGGGCCATACAGGAGGCCCAAGTTTGGAAACTGGGTCCATCTGAACTTACTTGTCACATCTGTGCATGCCCATGATCCTGGCTGACTTGAGAGTCTGAGGAAAGGATTGTGGCATGGTGAGACTCTGTGAACTGTACCTACCTTTTCCTTTCTCATGAAACAAAGTAAACGTATTTATTTATTATTATTATTTTGAAAGGTTTCTGGTACAGGGTGCATGTGCTCGCCAGAAAGACACAGAGAGACAGAGAAACAGAAAGCGAGAAATTACCCCGCAGGGGGATGGCATGCCGCAATCCCTTCTCCTCCATTCTCCTCTTAGGATCTTGGACAAGCACACGTGCCCGGCATGAGTTTAAGCCTCTGGGTCCAGGACTCGAACTGCGGTTGACTACATGGGAGTCCAGTGACATAGCCATTACGCCAACTGCTGGTCCCGAAATGAAGTAAATTTTTAAAATATTGAGAGAGCACCTCGCCTGCCCTGGAGCCAGTGGTTATCGAAGCACCCAGTATCCTGCAAGATGTGCCGCACACCAATGGAGTGGACATGGGCAGAGTGATGGTGGCCAGGCTGGGGCTGCTGTTACTGGCACTGCTCCTACCCACGCAGATTTATTCAAATCAAACAACTGTCATAACACTTCTAAATAATTCCTTCCAGAATACCTCTGGTGCCCTAAATACAGCTAATGCTACCACCAAGGCCGCTGGCAGTGCCCTGCAGTCAACAGCCAGTCTCCTTGTGATCTTGCTTTCTCTTCTACATCTCTACTGTTAAGAGACTCGGGTCCAGAAATATCTACACTTCCCTATCTTCTAAACCCAATCCAAATGGAATCTAGAAGTCCAATGTGGCAAGGAAAAAAACCAAACAGGTCTTCATCAAATCTACTAAATCCACAACTTATTTTACCAACACGGAAAATGTTGCAAATCCCAAATTTGATTGGTTGAAGAACACATGAAGGACTTGACCAGATGATAAATGCCAGGATTAAACCTGCTGGAGTTTCATGTACAAGATGAAGAGACAACCCTTGAAATTAGTTATGACATGATTTCCTTGAATGTGGCTTAAGAAATATGGACATGTAAAACTCTACCTTGAAATTAAGAATAGATTTTATCTTATTTAGAGACAAAGAATGGGATGTAGAATGGAGATTCAGTTTTCATTTGGTTCATTAAATCCATAAGGCCATAAAACAATCAGGTAATTTGAAAAATTGCCATGATTCTATTTATATGTACAATAGAAGGAACTTACAGGTGTTACTGTAAATCCTAAATGTATCATTTCAGCAGTACTAATTTAATACTAATACACTCTAGATAAAATTTCACATTGCAAAGCTATCACTATTTTCTGGGGAACTGAACTCTTTTCCTCTGAGGCTTTGGGTTTAACACTGCATGTCATCTTTTATGTAGTAATTGAGATGTGCTAGGACAATGATGGATTGAAATCTACCCCCCAAATCCAAGCATATTGGGTGAATATTGCTTAACCTTATAAAGTCAAAGGGTTGACATTTTATATTACCTGTTTTTATTGGACAAAAGCACCAGGTTCATTTAGTTAAACTACTTTTTTTTAGTTAAATTATTTTAAAAGAGTAGGATTGCACTGACCTCAACTAATTTAAAAATGCTTTTTATTTCGACATATGTCGAATTTCTGCATTTTTTACATTAAAAAATGATCTGTTTTGAAGGTAGAACTACAAATCTTGAAATTAAAAAGGTAAAGATATAAAGGAACCAAAATTATAAACCAGGTATTTGGGAAGTGAAGAATGGAAGCTAACTTGTGTAAAATTCATGGAAACTTTTATACTCTTTCTGTAAATACTTTTTTTTAAACCTATGGATCAGAATAGCCACATTTGGAACACTTTCTGTTATCAGTCAATGTTTTTAAATAGTTAGAACCTCAAGTGAGCTTGATTCTGGAAAATCTTTTCCAACAGCCTCAATACAGAAACCCTTTTAAAAATACACTCCCCTGAAGTATTTTGTTCGCATGGTCATACACTAACGCTTAGGTTCTATTCCAGTATCTAATATGGCCACAAAGTCATCTTCCCTCATCTTGAGAAACGTACATGAGAAGAACCAGATTGAACAGATCTGAAGCTACTGTGTGTGTGAATGAACACTTCCCTTTGCTTCATACCTGAATGCTGTACATCTATTTTGGATTGTATACTGTGTTTGTGTATTTATGCTTTGTGTATTTAACTTCTCATGTTATGGAATTGATTTGCACTGAACAAAAACTGTAGATAAAGAGAAATAAATGGCTGAAAGAGCAAACAACAATAGAGATAAGAACAACACACGACTAGAAATTTAAAATAAAAGATTTTTTTCAGCTATATATTACAGGACTATTACTGTAACTGTCCTGTATAATTATTATTACTATTTTATTTCAGAGGGCACTTGTGGGCATGAGAGAGGGAGAGGAAGAGGAGTCCTCCCCACACAGAAAGAGAGAGAGAGAGAGAAAACAAACTCCTCCCCACACAGGGCCTGGTCATGCTGTAATCTTTTTTCCTCCAATTCTCAATTTCATTAGGATTCTGGCCACACACTAGTGTGTACCCCCTGGCATGTTTTTTACACCACTGGTGCCAGGACTTAAACCCTGGCCAGCCATGTGGGATCTGGCTTCCTCTGTAGAGCACTTAACCAATGTGCTATGGGGCTAGTCCTATAATTATGATTATTATGAATTTTGCTATATATATGGCATGTGCATTTGCCGTTAGAGACAGAAAGAGAGAAAGAAAGTGAGAAATTACCCCTCAGGGGGATGGCCAAACCACAATCCCTCTCCATTCTCCCCTTGGGATTTTGGGTATGCATGTCCATGCACCTCGTGTTCTTTTTAAGCTGATAGGTCCAGGACTCAAACCATGGAATTGGCCATGTGGAATCCAGAGCCTTAACTAGCATGCACTGGCTGGCCCATTGTTTTTTAAATTAATTAATTAATTCTATAAGAGAGGAAGACAGAGAAAGAAAGAGAGATAAAGAGGGAGAAGCACTGCAATAAGGTCTTCACACCTCAATCCCACCCATAGCCTACACCAGGTAGGTTCATGGGCACACTTGGTATGTACGAAGAAACCTTGGGACATAAACCCAGGACCTTCCCATGTGGTCTCAGCATTAGGAGTATTGTGTAACTTCTGAGTCACTGTGGCTGAACTACAGGTACACTTTTTTTTTTTCAGAATTTATTTTATTTGTTATTATTATCTATTTATTTATTTTAATTTGACCAGAGAGAGACAGAGAGAGAGAAAGGGAAAATGAGGAAGCAAGCCATCAGGTTCAGGACTTGAACCACAGTCAGCCATGTGGGAGTCCAGCACTTTAACTACTACACCACCTGCCAGCCACTACAGGTATATTATTAGTGGCAATATATTTCCAGATGATTGGTATATTATTTTTATTATTTTTAAAAAACGATTATTTCATTTTATTCATCATCACTTTTATTTTCCTTTTTTAAAAAGAATGAATTATCTAACTTTATTTGTTATTATTTATTTTTCAATATGACCAGAGAGAGACATAGAGTGAGAGAAAAAGGGAAAATGAGAAAGTAAGCCACCAGGTCTGGGACGTGAACCACAGTCAGCCATGTGGGAGTCCAGTGCCTTGTTCACACACTCCCTGCCAGCCCCATCATTATTCTTTTTTTTTTTCTTTTCTTTCTTTCTTTTTTTTTTTTTTTGAGAGGTTTTTGCTATAGGGCATGTGCGCTCGCCAGACAGACAGAGAGACCGAAAGCGAGAAATCACCCCCCAGGGGGATGGTCACGCCACAATCCCTTCTCCTCCATTCTCCTCTCGGGATCTTGGGCACGCACGCATACATGCCTGGCGTGAGTTTTAAGCCACCAGGCCTGGGACGTGAACCGTGGTCGACTACATGGGAGTCCAGCGATATAGCCATTACGCTAACTGCTGGTCCCCATTATTATTTTTCAATCTGCCAGAGGGCATGTGTGCTCACCAGAGACAGAAAGGGGGGGAGAGAGAGAGAGAGAAAGAGAGAAAAAGCTGCCAGGTCTGGGATTCAAACCACAGTTAGTCATGTGGGAATCCAGCACCATGCCACTTGCTTGCCCCAGTGATTGGTATTACTAAAGTTATTAAAACATTAAAAATATTATGAAAATTTTTTTATCCTTATTACATTGGGTCACCGGAAAAGTCATGATGCATTTTTACATAGAAAAACATAGAAAAAAATACATCATGACTTTTTTTTAGAGGTGTCTGCTATAGGGCGCATGCGCTCGCCAGACAGACAGAAAGAGACAGAGAGATAGAAAGGGAGAAATCACCCCTGGGGGGATGGCCACGCCGCAATCCCTTCTCTTCCATTCTCCTCTCGGGATCTTGGGCACGCACACACATGCGCCCGGCATGAGTTTAAGCCACTGGGTCCGGGATGTGAACCGCGGTCGACTACGTGGGAGTCCAGTGACATAGTCATTATGCTAATTGCTGGTCCCCATCATGACTTTTCTGACCATCCTATAAAATGCCATCATATGGACCAGCAGATGGTATAATGGTTCCATCACTGGATTTCCATGTGGCCAACTGTGGCTCCAGTCCCAGACCCAGCAGCTTCAAATCCATGCTGGGTATGTGTACATGCATGCCCAAAATTTTGAGAAGAAAATGGAGGAGAAGGGATTGCAGCATATGGCCATCTCCCCTGGGGGGTGATTTCTCACTTTTCTATCTCTCTGGTGAGCGTTCGTGCCCAACAGCAAAAATCTCTAAAATAATTAAAAATGCCACCATAATGATTAAGATGTAAGTTGATGTGCAGAAAAAAATTTCATTAAAAAATATACATCACATAAAATTAGATATAATGTTTTTATGCTATCATTATCCAACAGTGTTGGTATGTTTGTTATGGATCCTTATTCTGGAAAAATACTTGTAAAAGGCCACGAAGTTAACTGGCCATAAAAGACAAAGAGCCCTACAAAGCAACATGCGACACAGTGAAAAGGGATTGAGAGCCTCTCTTAGCCTTAGGTTCCTTATTTGAAAAACAGGGACAATACCTACTTCATAAGATTGTATTAACGAAATATCCTAACATAGTACTTATCATGTTGCTCAGCAAATATTGGGTTGTCAGAAAAGTTGTGATGTATTTTCTCTATGCAAAAATGCAAAGTGACTTTTCCAACAACCCAAGAGTTGGTATACAAACAATATTATGCATTTTTTATGTGCTGGAAAATGAATTATTATTGTGGTATAAACTGACTATTAATTTTACTCCCTTAAAATAGCACAAGAGGGGCTAGCAGGTGGCATAGTGTTTAAGGTGCTGAACTCCCATGTGGCTTACCATGGTTCAAGTCCCAGATCTGGAGGCTTGAAACTCACACTGGGTACATGTGCATGCATGCCCAAAATCCCAAGAGGAGAATGGAGAAGGGACTGCAGCATGGCCATCCCCCCAGGGGTGTTTTCTCACTTTCTCTGTCTCTGTCTATTTCTCTGGTGCCCTATAGCAAATATCTCTAAATAAATAAACAAAAATAGCACAAGAACATACACTATCACTGTATAAAATTATAAATAACAATGCTCTATTTAGTTATTTAATTATTATAAGTGTCAGATGAAATTATACTTGAGAAACTGAAGACTAATTCTATGATTAAGTGCTTTCAAAGATACTGAAAATACTTTTTTAAAAAAACAACTTGGATGTAAAAAAAAAAACCAAACTTGTACATGGATGTGGCATTATTCATAATAGCCAAAAAAGAAAAACAACTAAAATATTAATCAGCTGACAGATAGATAAAATTGTGGGATAGCCATAAAATAGAACATTATTCAGTTCTGAAAAGGAATGAAGAACTAATTCATGGTAAACATGAAGCAACCTTGAAAACACTGTGCTAAGTGACAGAAGCCAGTCACAAAGGACCACATACTTTATAATTCCTTTTCTATGACATGTCCAAAATAGGTAAATCCAGATAAAGAAGTACTGGTAGTAGTCTAGGACTGGGAAGGTTAGGGGATATGACTTAATGGGCACAGGATTTATCTCTGGGGTAATGAAATTGATCCAAAATTGATTGTGGTATGACTGCACAACTCTGTAAATATACTGAAAACCATTAAATTGTACACTGTCATAATTGATCAGGTATGTGAATTATATTAAAATTGCTAGTAAAAACCAAATCTCTAAATTAAACATGGTTTTAAAGCAAGCTAAAATAACATTTTTAATGAAAAATTTAAAATAAATATTATTTACCATCTAGGTATCTTGTTCCATAAGCACATTCTGGAAATATTCTTCACAAATATGTGATGCAGGATACTGAAACTGCCAGGAGCCTCTTCACTAACACCAAAGACTGCTGGTCAGTTGATATTTTATTGGGAAATATGAACGTACTCTAAAATTCAAGGAAAATTAAAATATTTTATTTAGATTTACTTAAAAATGAAGTTTCCCTGGACTTAAAGTAGATCAAATTTTTCTTTTTTTAGAGATATTTTTGCTATAGGGTACAAGTGCTCACTGGAGAAACAGAGAAAGTGAGAAATCACCCCCTAGGGGAATAGGGACACCACAATCCATTCTCCTCCATTCTTCTCTTGGGATCTTGGGCATGCATGCACACACACCCAGCATGAGTTTTAAGTTGCTGGGTCAGGGACTTGAACTACAGTCAACTATGTGTGAGTCCAGCCATGTAATCATTATGCCATCTGCTGGTCCCAGATCCAATTTTTTTTTATAAGCATAGACTCTCAAAGAATTCCTCCTCATAGTAGTTAGTAATCCCCAGAAAGTAAGGGTGGCTTCTAAGATTTGGGAATGTTTCTAAGTTAATGACCTAAAGGTAACAGGTAAAAAGTACGTAAAGAATCTTAAAATTTTCTTTGCAGGTTAACTGTCTGTAAATGCATGATAGATGGACTGATAAAACTGATTTTCTCTTCAGTTACTAACTAGTTTTAGCATAGATTAATTGTGATGTAAAATCTTTTTTTTTTTTTTGAGAGGTTTTTTTCACTATAGGGCGCGTGTGCTTGCCAGACAGACAAGAGACATAGAGACAGAAAGTGAGAAATCACCCCCCAGAGGGGATGGTCACGCCGCAATCCCTTCTCCTCCATTCTCCTCTTGGGATCTTGGGCACGCACGCACACGCACCCGGCATGAGTTCTAAGCCACCGGGTCCAGGATGCGAACCGCGGTTGACTACGTGGGAGTCCAGCGACATAGCCATTATACTAACTGCTGGTTCCCGTGATGTAAAATCTTATGCTAAGACAGCAATTTTATCTTTGATTCTGGGTCACAAACACTCATTTTCTAGGTGAACTGCTTTGAATAATAATTTTATGAACAACTTTAATACTAAAGTAAATAAAAAATGAGCCAGTGATTTAATGCAACACATCAAACATGCAATAGAATTCTCCATTAATTCAAAATAGGTTGACAAATATCTTCAAATTTCTTTCTTAAAACATAGAATCTCCTAGTCTCATTGAACTCTCAGTTGGCTCTAACTTTCAAATATAAAAATTAAGTAATTGGTACTTCAAGAAACAATAAAATCAGCAAAATTAAAATAGAGATCATACCATGGAAGTTCTCTGCAACTGTGCAGTGGCCATCTTCTTCTGATAAAATGATTTTCTTTAATTCAACCTTTTGACACAAATACAAGTTTTAACTTTGGATTTTATAATGATCTCTAATGTTCTAGTTTACTACATATAAAGTGAGTAAACTTGAGGATTTCTTTAAAAAGGAATCTTCAAAAATGTAGAACTCTATATTGCTGTGCAACTATTTTGAGAAAGTCCAAATTTTAAGCCATTAGATTAGTAAGTCTCACCATAAATGGGTTAAGAAACTCTTTAGAAGAACTTTTTAAGAAAGCACACATTCTTCCTATTTTTCATCATTGTACAGTATTCAACCTTTGACCACATTGAAAAGGTAGATACTATGTAATTAAAAACTGCCCTGGCAAACCCTTTAAGATACTTATCTTTTAATTGTAATTTCATAATAAAGAATCAGGTGATTTTCCTTCACTTAACTTTTGGCTTTGTATTAATTACTATCTACTCCGTGGAAAAGCCAAAATAGGGCAACAGAATATATTGCATATTTTCAATTTCGATTTCTCAGTGGTAACCTTGGTAAGCTGATGTAAACTTCAACTTTTGGGGGTTCCCAATTTTAATTTCCCTAATCGGAGAGACGATTCAACCAGAAGAGTTCACAGAACAAGGTTCACAGAAAAGCCTAGTTACTGGAAACGACCAAACGTTTTCTGAGAAAGCCTGGACTAGCCGCCAGCGGCCAACCTACTCGAGAACCTCTGTGGAAAATAAGTAAGTATATATACAGTATTTCCCCAACGTTTCACATTAAGATCTTAAGAAACCTCAGAGTAGACACAAAGAGACAGAAAAAGAGACTGGAAAGTTAAAATACCAAATAAAACACAAATATTACGTAGCCTCTGAGGGGCAGGCTCCGACAACCACAAGAGCTGTACGCCTCAGCACGTGCCTCCTCTGCTGCGCATGCGCATTTCTTCAACGGTCGCCTGCCGGGTCACGACGATGGCTTTTTGACCCCACGGTGGAGGTCAGCTTTCCCGCCAAAAGCAGCGCAAGGCGTGCCGGGAACCCCTTACGCCACCCGCCACCCAAAGGCTACTGAGCCAGGTCCCAGCAGGGGACTTGTCAGAGACCAGTAAAAGCATTTTAAGTAACTGCACGGCGCAAAGCTTTTCCGATTACACAAACTTTCCTATGGTGACCAAAGTGTTCTCAGCCGCCATTTATTATAGTTCATCATATTAATTTCTGGTTGTTTTCCAACGTTTGATTTTGTTACTGGATCTATTGATAGCACATTCCCCCCTTCCAGCTTCCTGTGTCTCTAGGAAACCTGTTGCTCTAAAAGTCTCCAACTTAGATTATTTCTTCTTGGTTATGTTTGTGAGGACATTGGATCACTCTGAAGGTAATTTGTATTCCATTTAGAAACAAAATAATGAAGTAGGAGTGGGTAGTTAGTTGGAAATTGTCCAGGAGTACAAATTTCTTAGTGTTCATACTGTTATAAAGCCAAATAAATTGTTAGTAGGTGTAACCATGACGTTTTAAACCTTGATATGTTTTCATGGGACTGGGGATAGCCACCCCAGATACAAAATGCTTGTCCTAAGCCAATCAGTTAGGAGAGAAATGAAGATAGAACCCTGTTTTCAGAACCAAAAATAGTGAAAACCTTAGCTTAATCATTATTTTTGCCTTCTATTTCTCTGCCATTTTAAATACACAAAAGGCTTTCACACTCACTGTTTTCCTTAACTTTGCTTCCTATAAGAACCTTGTGAGGAAGAGGCGTGTATTATCTCTGTTTTAGAAATGAACAAACAGACTTGGGCAAAGTTGGTTTCCCAAGATCATAACTAGTTTGTGTTAGCAGAGGGGGCTTCCAGGACACCTAAAAAGAGCACATTAAGTTTACAATATAGTGTTGCATATTAAATTTGTTTTGAGTCATTAACAACTATACCGAAAAAAAAAAAGGAAAGAAAACTAGTTCAGCTCTGACTCATAATAATCACAACAATGAAATCACTAACTACGGATTTAACCAGCCATATCATTGACTATATTTTGAGGATAGAAATTGAGAAATGAGTGTTATTCGTGTAAGAGATCTAAATCTTCAATTACAATAAGTCTGTGGATTAAGTAAAACATTGGCAATACAAACATACTAGAAACCTAAAGGTAAATGCCAGAAGAAATAGCTATACTAATTATCATTTATTTTAAAATATTACTGACTTTTGGGGGTGCTGTCTCTCATTTACTCACTCATGGAAGAAATAAATAAACTTTTGGGACCAGCAGGTGGCGTGGTAGTTAAGGTGCTGGACACTCCCACATGGGCAACCACGTAAAAGTCCTGGACATGGTGGGTTGCTTTCTCGCTTTCTCTCTCTCTCTCTTTCTCTGTCTCTCTCTGATCAAATTAAAATAAATGAATGAATAAATAAAGTTAAATAAGTAATTCTAAAATAAAAAGAAAACTTAAAGAAATAAATAAACTTTAAAAAAGTAATAAAATTATTTTATTGAAAATTATTGGGTTTGATGAGAAACTCATAGGTGGAGAGACTTAATTTAGGGGAAGGTGAGTCATGGAGGGCTTCAGCACAGGAATATTTTGGGCAGAAAAAACAACACATGCAAAGGCTCTGAAGTAGGAAGTGACTCAAAAACTGAAGGAAGGTTTTCCCTGGAATTACCACTGTGGGTACTTGCTTGCTCATTCCTGGAGTAGCTGCTGCATCCATCTACAGGTTCTCTGACAGGGGCAAGGAAAGTGTTGCCTATTACTCCTATTGGTGGAGTTTTATAGAAGGAGATAGGCACATCTTGGGAGTTAATTGTTACTATATGCTACAGGATTTGGAAAACATTGATTAAGGAAGCATTTTTATGCTTGATAAAAAGATAATTCAGTTATGGTCACCAACCTCTGCTAGAATAGCATACTAAATAGCTTTCAGTGTATCATGGAGTTCTTTTTTTTTTGGTAGACGTTTTTGCCTTAGGGCATGTGCGCTTGCTGAAGAGAGAGAGAGACAGAGACAGAGACTGTGAGAGAGGAATGAGAAATCACCTTCTAGGGGAGATGGCCACACCATAATCCCTTCTCCTCCATTCTCCTCCTGGGATCTTGGGCACACACGCACATGTGTCCAGCATGAGTTTCAAGCCACTGGGTCTGGGACTTGAACTGTGGTCGGCCGTGTGGGAATCCAGTGCCGTAACTGTTATGCCATCTACTGGACCCATATTATGGAGTTCTTAATGAGGGGGGAATGGAGGGGAAGGTATTGCAGCATGGCCATACCCCTTGTGGGGTGATTTCTTGCTTTCTGTCTCTCTGTCTCTGTCTTTCTGGTGAGCACATGCACACTATAGCAAAAACTAAATAAAATAAAATAAAGAAGTAATGTCTAGAGCTATCCAGTGGTTTAGTGGTTAAGGCAGCTGGTTCCCACATGGATGACTGCACAGTTCGAGTCCTGAACCCAGCAGTATGAAAAATGCTAGGTGTGTGTGTATGCATACCTGGGTCTTGAACCATGCAGTTGGCCATGTGGGATTCAGTTGCCTTAACCACCACGTCAGCAGCTATCCCTATTTTAAACTTTTTGTTTTAATGAAACTTATTTCTGTAAGTTTGAAATTATTTATTGGTAAAATTTCCCCTGTTGGTGGGCATACAATAGGCTTTTTATTTATTTATTGCTATAGGGCAAGTGTAATTGTCAGAGACAGAGAGAGACAGAGAAAGGGAGGGAAAATAAGAAAGCGCCCACCCCCCCAGGTAGAGATGGCCAGGCCTCTACGCCTTGTCCTCCATTATCTTCTTGGGATTTGGACCATGCACACACACCTGGCGTGTTTTTTTTTTTGGTTTTTTTTTTGAGAGGTTTTCGCTATAGGGCGCGTGCGCTCGCCAGACAGACAGAGAGAGACAGAGAGACAGAAAGTGAGAAATCACCCCCCAGAGGGGATGGCCACGCCACAATCCCTTCTCCTCCATTCTCCTCTCGGGATCTTGGGCACGCACGCACATGCGCCCGGCGTGGGTTTTAAGCCACCGGGTCCAGGACATGAACCGCGGTCGACTACGTGGGAGTTCAGCGACATAGCCATTACGCTAACTGCTGGTCCCTACCCATCCTAGGTTCATAGTTGAGTTTCCGGTAATGAAAGACAGATTAACAAGGGAAAAGCATCCACATTTAACTACTGTAAGTTTTACATGATATGGGGTCTTCCTGAGGAAGAGCTGAAGAAACAAACCTGAGTGTTTTCTTAGAGCAGATTTGAGCAAGAGTGGAGTGTCACAGAGCAAATGTGATGGAGCAAAGGGGGTACAAACTAGATGTAATAAACTGGGGGAAATGTAAGAAGGCCCATTTGTTTAGATTCCTTTCTGTGTCCTTTGTCTTTAGAGTAAGGATGCTCCTTTACTCTAGTTGGGGGCGGGGGACTCTAGTAAGGATGCTCCTTTACTCTAGTTGGGGGAGGGGGACTCTTTTTTTTTTAATAGAAATTTTGCTATAGGGCACGTATGCTTGCCAGAGAGACAGACAGAAAGCGAGAAATCACCCCCAGATGGCCACCCCACAATCTGTCTTCCTCCATTTTCCTTTTGGGATCTTGGGAACACATGTGTACTCGCCTGGCGTGAGTTAAGCTACTGGGTTCTGGGACTCGAATCAGGGTTGAGTATGTGGGAATCCAGCAACGTAATTATTACGCCATCTGCTGGTCCTGAGAGGGCATCTCATAACTGAGTCTTATGACCTGCTCCCAGGAGGGTTAGAAAATTCTTCCTGGGTTTTATGACCATAATTAAAGAAAAAATCTGAATGACCTTCCTGCTTTTCCTGTTTTCTCAAATTCCTTCAGTTTAAAATACTATGCCAAGATGCTATATTTTGGGAGTGTGTGCTAAACCCCATCACTAACTTTTACCTGAAAGTTAGCTTTTCCTTCAGTTTGGACATAAGTCATAAACCCATGGTATCAGCAATATGTGTGACTTTATCATCTAAAGAAAATTCAGATATTTTCATATCACAATACAGTATTGCTGTATACAAGTATTGTTGGTGTTCATCACTACTTCAAATTTAGAATAGTTAACTCATTTAATACATTTATAAAGAAACGTGCATATTATTATACTGCGAATTTCTGTTTTAACTTTTTTAAGATTTATTTTTTGGTGGTTTTGGTGGTGGTGGGTATTTGTGTTTGTGTTGTTTTACACGGGGTCTTGGTGTGTTGCAACCCTCCTGCCTTAGCCACCTGAGTAGCTGGGACCACAGGCGTGGACTTCCATGCTCAGCTCCTTATTTATTTATTTATTTTATTTGCATGAAAGCACATATGCTCACCAGAGAGACAGAAAGAGAAATGAAGGGAAAGTGAGAAAGCAGCCCCAAGGGAGAGTAGTCATGCCACAAACCCTTTTCCTCCATTTCTCCCTCCTGTTGGGATTTTGGGTACCAATGAACACACATCTGGTATGTTTTTCAGGCTGTAGAGTCTGGACTCCAACTGGACAGCTGGCCATGTATGATCCAGCCACCTTAATTACTATGCTACCATCTGGCCCTGCCTGGCTCTTTTTTAGGTGGGCCAAGAATCAAATCAGGCCTCAGCTTTGCCAGGTTGTCTCAGCTCCCCAAGCCAGAATGTCCAGGCATGTTACTGTGGCTGGGCCTATTTTAACATTTTAATAACTGTGTTTCAGTATAATTGGCATTCTTTCTAATTGCATATACTTCATTTTATTAATTTAAAAACATTATTATTATTATTATTATTATTATTATTGGAGGGGTTTTTGCTACAGGGCGCGTGTGCTTGCCAGACAGAGCCAGAGAGACAGAAAGCGCCAGAAAGCGATAAATCACCCCCCAGGGGGATGGCCACGCCACAATCCCTTCTCCTCCATTCTCCTCCATTCTCCTCTCGGGATCCTGGGCACACACACATATGCGTCCAGCGTGAGTTTTAAGGCACCAGGTCTGGGACTCGAACTGCGGTCAACTACATGGGAGTCCAGTGACATAGCCATTACGCTAACTGCTGGTCCCAATTTAAAAACATTATTCTGAGAAAGTACCTGTAGCTTTCACAAGGTTTTACTAAACGTCAGGAGCCCATATTTTTGTTCTATCTACGGTACTTGAGACGTTATGGGCAAAACAAAAATTATGTTAACTATAGAATAATCAAGTAATTTTTAAAATTAGTTATTTAATTTTATTGATTTATTTTTAGTTTGACCAGAGAGAGACACAGAGAAAGAAAGAGGGAAAATGAGAAAGCAAGCCACTAGGTCTGGGACTCGAATCGTGGTCAGCCATGTGGGGGTGTCCAGCACCTTAACCACCACACCACCTGCTGGTCCCCCAAGTAAATATTTTTTAACTGTAATTTTTCTCTACACTTTTGGTGATAGTCATGTGTTATGTTTTATATTATTAATAGCGAGTCTTAGTTCTTCAAATTTGCTTAATTTTATTTCTGGGAGCCAGAGATAGTGAAATTAGCTTAAGGGCAGTTTAGGATATATTAATGACATTATCCCACACATTTTCATGTCACGGGGTGAACTTACAAAATTTAAAGTTCCTGGTGTCTGTTCAGAAAGCATCTCCTAATCTGGAGCGGTTGTCAGGAAGATTCATCTTAATTAGACAAACATGAGTAGTGGAATGTTTATTTATTTATTTATTTATTTGGAGAGGTTTTTCTATAGGGTGCATGTGCTTGCCAGAAAAACAGAGACAGAGAGACAGAAGCGAGAAATCACCCCCCAGGGGGGATGGCCACACCACAATCCCTTCTCCTTCATTCTCCTCTCAGGATCTTGGGCACACATGCACACGTGCCCGGCGTGAGTTTAAGCCACCGGGTCCGGGACTTGAACCATGGTCGACTACATGGGAGTTCAATGACATAGCCATTACGCTAACTGTTGGTCCCGAGTAGTGGAATGTTTTAAAAGAAATGTAGTTTGGTTATGTTTTTCAGATTGGCTCAATGATTAGCCAAAACCAAAAAAGTGCTGGTCAAATTACTGATGACTAGGTAACAAAAATTTGAACTAGTATATTAAATTGTCATTGTTAAAAATAATTCTTCGGAAGTACTTGAAAACATTGTCTTTTAAGCATTTATATACTTTAGCATTATTTAAGAACATTTATTAAATCTTTTTATGTGAAAAGATACAATCTGAGACCTCAAGATATTTATTTATTTATTTTTTTGGAGAGGTTTTTGCTACAGGGTGCGTGCGCTCACCAGAAAGACAGAGAGAGACAGAGGGACAGAAAGCGAGAAATCACCCCCCAGGGGGGATGGCCACGCCGCAATCTTTTCTCCTCCATTCTCCTCTTAGGATCTTGGGCATGCACTCAGACGTGCCTGGCGTGAGTTTAAGCCACTGGGTGCGGGACTCAGACCACTGTTGACTACATGAGAGTCCAGCGACATAGCCATTGCGCCAACTGCTGGTTCCCCTCAAGATATTTATAACCTAATATTTCTTCCACTTAAGTTGCCAGAGCTCATCATCAGCATACCACAATTAATGTTCTTATAATAGAGTATAAAAGTCACCTAAGAACAAAGAAAGGTATGAAGCAATGACAGAAATTTGAAATAATGGATTTATGAATCACTTTTAGGCCAATCAAGTTACAAAAGGCCACTAGGAGACTTAAAAAGAGATAGAGGATAGAACAGAACAATGACAAATATGACAGATCGTCTTAGGTCGGCCAATTTTCATGCGGTTATAACTGTAGTAAATCATTAATTTACTTAGCAACCTTTTTATTTGAGATTTGTGAAGTTAGAAAAGTGAAGAATCAAACTATATTTTCTAATTAGCACAGTAAATATACTTTGATCATGATACACTTCTTCTGGAGACAGCAGGTTAAAAGCAGTTAATAGAAAGTGCTTCATTCTTCTTGATGCAGAGATCCTCTAGATTTCCGGGTACGAGGCGTAACTGGCAATCCCACAGTGATTTTCACTATTTCTTGCCATCCGAATATATCCTTTATCACCGAAGGGGAGGCCCCAGCTTTAGAGCAAGAAAGCACACAAAATTGCCAATGAATACAATCAGATAATTCAATCAACCTTTTATCCCTTTGATTACTTTTCTCCTAAAACGATCATATATGAAAAGCCATAAAATAAAATTAGAATGAACTAAAGTAATCTGCCTAGGGATTTGAAGCACTATTCTTTCTTTTTAAAGTTTGTTTTCTTTCTTCCATGAGAGGACAAGAGAGAGAGAGAGATTGCCCTCCTCCTGACAGGGTCTGGTAATGCCTTCATCGCCTTCCCCCACCCCCTCACTTTTTAGCCAGTTACATGCCAGGTGTATCTCAGGTCGGCCCAGGATCTGAACCTGGTCTTCCAGGCCAGGCCTAGGCAATTTGCAGAAGATAGTTTGGAAGGCTTTAGTGCTATATTGGTGAACAGATTTTTTTTTTTTTTTGAGAGATTTTCGCTATAGTGTGCGTGCGCTCGCCAGACAGACAGAGAGAGACAGAGAGACAGAAAGCGAGAAATCACCCCCCAGAGGGGATGGTCACGCCGCAATCCCTTCTCCTCCATTCTCCTCTCGGGATCTTGGGCATGCACACACACGCGCCCGGCGTGAGTTTTAAGCCACCGGGTCCTGGACGTGAACCGCGGTCGACTACCTGGAAGTCCAGCGACATAGCCATTATGCTAACTGCTGGTCCCCATAATCTTCTTTAGATTACATTGTATTACATATAACTTTACAGTGTATTACATTGCTTTTTCAAAAGGGAATGCCATGCATGCCAGTCAATACAGAGACATTAATCTCCCCACTTCATCATTCAATATCTTTTCAATGTTTTTCCCAATCATTATTATTATTATTATTATTATTATTATTATTCTAATTATTATTATTTTTAAACAATCATTATTTCTCATTTTGCTTGTAAAAAGACTTTACCTATCATGAAATACTTCTCAGACCAATCCAGTTGAGAATACTATACATGTCAAGGGAAGGTTGTGTTTTCACATGAGTGGAGAAACTACGAAGTGTCGGTTTATTGCTAGAAGACAAGTGGCATGGTTTAGAAGGGCTGTGCTTTAAGAGACCTTAGAATTCTCAGACCAGCAGATGGAGTAATGGTTACATCACTGGACTCCCACGTAGTCAACTGTGGTTTGAGTCCCAGACCTAGTGCCTTAAACTCACGCCGGGTTCATATGCATGCGTGTCCAAAATTCTGAGAGAAAATGGAGGAGGGATTGTGGTGTGGCCATCCTCCCTGGGGGGTGATTTCTCACTTTCTTTCTCTGTCTCTCCAGCAAGTGCACATGCCCTATAGCAAAAATCTCTAAAAAAAAAAAGTTATATGGGGGCCAGCAGGTGGCATAGGACTGAACTCCCATGTGGTCAACTGCAGTTTGATTCCTGGACCTGCAGGCTTGAAACTCATGTCAGGCACATGAGCTTGCATGCCCAAATCCCAAAAGGAGAATAGGGGAGAAAGGATTGCGGTGTGGCTACCCCTCTAGGGGGTGATTTCTCATTTTCTGTCTCTGTTTCTCATTGTCTGGCAAGCACAAGCACTTCATAGCAAAAAATCTCTCTCAAAAAAGAAAAGAAAGAAAGAACTTTTTGGCTATTATTTTGATCTTGCTCTACCACTTATTACAGTTGTCTATTTCCACTTCACTTTTCTCTCGGCTTTAAAATGGAGAGTTAGGAGCAAGTGCTGCTATTTGGGCTATTCATTGGAAATTTTTGGTGTCTTCTTAACTTTTTTGTTTATGTTTTTGTTTCTGTTTTGTGTAAGGTTCTAATGGGTATATGATGAAAACTTTTTTTTTTCCTCCCCAGGCTAAAATAATCTTGTGCCCAATAACTTTGAGAACTTGCTACCCATTGATTTGTAAACTAAACTCTTCTCTCCCTACTTTTTTTTTTCTTTCTAAAAATAGTCTTGCCTCCCATCTTGTGGGTAGTCCCTTTGATAGCAGTAGCCTCTCGGGCAACTATGTGTCCTCGTTAGGCTCCAAAACGTATTCTACATGGAGAACAATTGTGTCTTGGGTTAAACTAGGTTTCTAAATTTATCCATCTGCCCATACTTGACAGTGTAGACTGTCCAAATACTTTAGGATCCTATTCAACAGTGTATTATCAAAACCTCTGCTGCCTAACTAACGGTTATGGAGATCTCTTTGAAGAATATATAGTTTATCATTCCTGATCATTTTCTGGATTAAGGCATCAGAGGATTGTGCAACCTGGTATGTTGCATCTTTTTGGCTCCCATAAAATAATTTTACTCAATTATGTGTTGGCATTAAATCACTGGCCTACTTTGTTAGACATTATGAGAATATTTTGTAAAACCTATTACTACTGGGTCACTCAGTGGCTTGGTGGTTTAGGTGACTGAATCCCACATGGCCAACCGTATTGTTTGAGTCCGAGACCTAGGGGCTGGAAAACTCACTAGATGTACCTGTGTGTGTGTGTCCAAAATCCTAAGAGGAGAATGAAGGGGAAGGGACTGCAGTGTGGTCATCCCTCCTGGGGAGTACTCTCTCACTTTCTCTCTCTGGCAAGCACATATGTCCTCTAATAAAATTTTAGAAAGAAAAAAAATGTTTTTAAACCTACCGCTAGATTTACTTTTGGGATTTTTTTTTTTTTTGAGAGATTTTCACTGTAGGGCGCGTGCGCTCGCCAGACAGACAGAGAGAGACAGAGAGACAGAAAGCGAGAAATCACCCCCCAGGGGGGATGGTCACGCCGCAATCCCTTCTCCTCCATTCTCCTCTCGGGATCTTGGGCACGCATGCACACGCGCCCGGCGTGAGTTTTAAGCCACCGGGTCCGGGACGTGAACCGCGGTCGACTATGTGGGAGTCCAGCGACACAGCCATTACGCTAACTGCTGGTTCCCACTTTTGGGATATTTTTGAGGGCGTGTTTTTTTTACTTCATATAGTATTCTGTTCATAAAGATACAAAGAAGGAATAATAGCAACAATTACTATGATTTATTGGACACTTACTATGTACCAGGAACTCTGTGCTAAGCATTTACGTGCATTATCTGGTTTAATCCTTGTACTAATCTGAGGCTATTCAGCTCACTTTACAGATAAGAGAACTAAAAATTAAAGAAGTCAAATAATCTGCCTAAGTTCACATAGACAATAAAGAGAGCTAGAATTCTAAACAAAGTTTACCTGGCTTCAGAGTTAATATTTTTTGTTTGTTTGTTTTTGTTTTTGTTTTTGTTTTTGTTTTTTTGCTATAGGGCACATGCACTTGCCAGACAGACAGAGACAGAGAGACAGGAAGCAAGAAATCACCCCCCCCCAGGGGGGATGGCCACGCCGCAGTCCCTTCTCCTCCATTCTCCTCTTGGGATCTTGGGCACGCACGCACATGCGCCCGGTGTGAGTTTTAAGCCACCGAGTTCAGGATGCGAAACGCGGTCAACTACATGGGAGTCCAGCGACATAGCCATTACACTAACTGCTGGTTCCCAGAGTTAATACTTTTACTCACTGCCTACACTGTATTACATAAAGAAGCTAAATACCCCTGTCATGAAAGGAGAGAAAAATTGGGGCACATGGATCAATGTTATATACATGCCAGAAAGAAGATTAATCTTATTTATAAATAGAGTCATTTAGATACAATTAGTAAAGTAAGATGATATCATTGGGTGGGCCTTAATCCAGTACAACTGTCTTACAAAAAGGGAGAAAACATTATTAATTTAAAACATTTAATTGACAAATATATATGTCTAAGATGCATATATATGTAATCATGATCACAACCAAATGAATACATCCCTCATTATCTTTGCTGTACAAACCCTCAAAACGTGTTCATCTTATAGCTGAAAGTCTGTACCTTTAGATCCACATCTCCCCATATTCTCCACTCAGCACCTCGACAACCACTGTTCTACTCTCTGTTTCTATGAGTTCAACTTTTTTAGATTCTACATACAAGTGAGATTATGCAGTATTTTTCTTTCTGTAATTGGGAACATTTTCTTCACAGTCCTCAGAAGGAACTAACCTGGCTGACATGTTAATCTCATACTTCTAGCTGCCATAACTGTGAGACATAATTTTTTTTTTTTTTTTACTGTTTTGCTATGGGCATGTACAGTTGACAGAGAGAGAGAGAGAAAGGAAAAGTGAGAAATCATGCCCCTGGGGGGATGGCCATTCTTTTATTGAGATTTTGGGCACTCACACATACATACCTAGCATGATTTTCAAGTTGCAGGGTTCAGGACTTGAACCACACTGTAGGCCATGTGGGATCCAACACTTTGTCCTCAATGTCACCTCTTGGCCCCTAAATTTCTATGCTTTAGGTCACTCAGTTTGTAGTACTTTGTGGTAGCAGTTCCAGAAAATTAATACAAGGAGAAAGTGCTTAAAAGTTTCAACTCTTCATATTTCTACTCATTTTTCCTTTTAGAAATTACAGTCCTTTTATTATGATTCTTTGTTTCATCTATCCATTTTTTTCCCCAAGACAGAGAGTGAGAAATAATCACCCCTAACAGGCTCCCCACACAATCCACCCCAGTATTAGCCAGCCAGATCACTGGCACGGGCACACCCAATGTACTTAGAGAGAGCCCAGGATGCGAACACAGGACACGTCTCATGTGGGTCCAGTTACGTTACCACTGCCCCAACACCTGGCCCTTGCTATAAATTGTATAGGCGTCAGTTCCGTACATGAATTGAGAAGAAACAAGTGTCACAGTTGCTGGGCTGAGGATACAAAGACCAGGCATAGTCCCTTCCCCAAAGGCACATACGAATATTGGAGTGACAGGATGGATGGACAATTTAAATATAAGGCATAAAATGCTGTGATCCAATATGCATAGGGCATTTTGGCAGCATAGAAAAAAGACATTTTACTCTCAGCCCAAGGATTCGAGGAAGACTTTCTGGAATAAATAATGCCTGAGCTGCGTTTGAAGAAAAAAATAAAATAAATCAAATGAGGAGAGAGGATGC